GGCTTGCTGCAGCCGTGGGTTCGCTCAGGCCTCGACGATATTCTCCTACGCGGATAACTGATCCTACGTCATTGTGGGAAAAGCTGGAAGGCATCGATGTTCTGCTCACCGAGGACTGCGGCACGTTGACTAAGTCCCCAACAACACACTCCATCGCACCGGTTGCGCATAATCGCAGAATGATTAAAAGCTTTAGCAAAGGCGGGAGAGGCTCTCCTGTACATCATCACTCACGTTGAGGCACTGCTCTTCCAGAATGTGCACCACAGACTGCTGCTGTATGAAGCAATACCTCATGCGGCATTCTTTCAACCGACCCCTCGGGTTTCTGAATGAAAGTGCAATCGCACAGCGATACAAGTAATGTACAAGAAATCGCTCGTTCGTTGCGCGAAGTCGGCCAACGACGCGGAGAGCGCAATTGTTTTTTTTTTTTTTCAACTGGCGGCGGAGTGCTGGTGTATACGTACCACCATGGTCCCTCAATACTTTTTACTGGTCATGAAACTCCCGCGAAAGTTTCATATAGGGACAAAAGTGGCCACCAGAGGCGCCACCGTATACAGGAGGGCATTGATCTGCTGCGCTTGGTAGGACAGGTGCGCGTTCGCAGAAGCGTTTGCCGTCAAATACACTTCTTCAGATATTTTCCTTCTCCGTGTTCTCGCTAACAAGTCATAGCAGTGATTAGTATTGTCAATATTGTATACATGATGCGCGTTGTACAAGATGCGCTTTGTCCCCTTGTAGCTACGCCAGCGCCGCGGAAAGTGCGGGCGGTATATGAAGCTCTCCCATTGAGTTACGCGGGAGTTTCATGACCAGTAAAAGTATTGAGGGACCACGGTACCACCTTTCCGCCCTGTCGGCAGACGGAGAGCACTGCAGAGAAGCCATCTTTTATTGCACATGAGCGAGGTATAGAGGCACGAAAGTAGCCCCAGCGCTACCCTGACTAGGCAGAACACCAAGGAGGGCCTCAGCGACGAAACCTCAGTAAGGATCATTCCAGAATACGCGATAAAGCGTCCTATAGCCGTTCAGGAACACTCACATGAAGTAAGGAGCGTTTCAGAACACGGCATTTTGGCGCGACGAAAGTGTTGATACAGCTGGCAAAGAGAGAGAGAACAAAATCTGCTTTGGAGCAGATGGAACCATAGGCGTCGGCAGAGTGTTCCAAAAGAGGTACCCGCTCTGCACCCCCCCCCCCCAAATCAGCTATACCAGCATCTCACTCCGCTTCCAAAGCCAGGGACTACATGGGTTTCTATCCCCCCTAGAAGAATCCTGGAGCTAAGGCGTGTTCCGGAGCAGGTAAAAAGGAGTTTGAAATAAATAGAACACTAAGACAACCTTTCTCGTGTATGTTCTTATAAGTGTTCAAACAGAAAATGCTGCTCTATTGAAAACAATTAATGGACCCCTGACAGCTATAGTTTTGTTTGCAACTTTTTTAGAGTGATTTGCGTATGGTACTGCCGAAATTGAATATTAAATGCTCTAACACACGTGTAATTTATACTAGCGTCGTTGATTGCGAATGATTTTGCTTCAGTTCGAAACGCCCGCTTAAATACTATAACAAACTATCACCACACAGCGGGACAGTGCCCGAAACTACGCACGCTTAAGCATGTCCTCCGAGATTGGGGCGAGCGGAAACACTAGAGTAACTGTATATGGCCCTTTATGGACCATGTACAGTTACTCTAGGGAACACGCCGCGCGCCCACCATCTCGGAGGCCATGGCTAAACGTGCTGTTCCCAAATTGCGACCCACGAGTGGTGAAGAATAAAACTCAGAAAAAAGAAAAGCATTCCTGACGTAAGCATCCAAAACTACCTTGAGACCAGTTCGACAAGCTCAAACAACACAAGCATCTTGAGTTTGCAGATTTGGTGCCAGGTGTCCTCTAAGGAGACAGGACTATCAGCCACAGAGCAGCAAACAATCAGACTGTCCACAGAAAAAAAAAAAAAACAATGTCATTGGCTGTTTGCCCTGAACGAGCACGATGTGCCTTCAGATTAAAGTGAGTGCAGCAGAGTGTTGTCGCACGTTGTTTGGCGCGACAGGTGCAGGTAGACCAGCTGCACTATATACACCTCTGCCACGGCGCATGCACCATTACCTTAGCGGCAAAGTCGCGAAACGTCTCTTGACCTCGGAGGCAGTACCGATTGTCTCAGTCCCTACCAAAACAGCAGAGGGCAGCACATAAAAATCGAAAAGGCGGAATCGGAAGGGGCGGAGCGGATGGTGTATAGAAGAGGCGTATGTATACCGCGAATGATACTGTATACCGCGAATGAAAAGTGATCAGGAAGAGAAACAGGAATGCCTTTCAGGGTATTTCTATGCATGCAGTTTTCGAACAATATACCGGAGGGCTAGCGCTTCCATCTCGCCCACTCGAGGTGAGACGGACCAGCAACATAACCCAAGAATACAAAAAAAAAAAAAAAAAACGAGGCTTGCCCCCAGAAATGCGCCGCAGCTATACCATGCACTCTAATGTCCCAGGTAGTCGTGCTATAGACGTTCTGCTTTCAAAGTCCGAATACTTTTTTTTTTTTTTGCTTACGCATATGAGGAATCAAAAGTTTCGTCGTCCACTCTGAATCCGTCGTGATGCGCAGCGGGACTGATATGTACCACTTTTTTTTCTCGCCATGATCTAAAACCTTTAGATTAAAAGCACTGAATATATTGTTTTGAGACTTCTAGCGCGATTGTGTGGATGCTCAAGTAGTTATTTTAATGGTATTCTCAAGGCGGCAGCACATACAGGCGCTCCAAACAATCGATTCCGCTAGCACGCGCTATATACTTTTTCATCGAATTTCGGCGTGCTCCCCAACCCAATTCAGCTTGAGACGCAAGCTTTAAAAGTTTGTTACACACCCTAGAGTTACCAAATGTAATATTATAGTGATTGCCTTAGTTTCTGCCCATAAAGCTTCCACAAAAGAAGAGTGCAATGCGAAATAGCCACTCAGTGAGATATTGCCGAAGTAGCCAGTCTAACACAGTGCCGCTGATAGCAGCATGCAGTATCAAATTTTACATATTTTTTTTAATGCACTGAAGCTTCTTTCCGTGGAAGAAACAGTTGAGCTTCCGTCCACGGACAAATATTAGACGTTGGCAAAGCATGCCCAGCACCCACATGCCTACGTGCTCGAGTAGTGCCGTTAGCGAGTAGATGTACTGTGGCCGTCTAGTCAACTTTTTCATGGTGTTCGTTTGTTGAGAATTCGCGTTTGCAGCCTCTGTCCTTTGTTGTTGTAAGGCAGTAGCACGTTTCGCATTATATATATTCCAAAACTGGCTGGCTTTCAGTGGGCAGCGGGACACGCATGTATCACATTTTTTTCTCTCTAAACCCACTAACAAATATCAGCTCAAATTTTTAGACATTGTCACGGGTATGGAAACACCACTCCGACAGCGCGACTGGAATGGCGTCGAATAGACGAAGACGACAGCGCGGTTAGAAGAGTTGCTTGTTGGGAAAATTGGTACATACTTAGTAAACTACACAAGTCCCTCTGTCCCTGTTTCTACCTGCTTTTATGGCTTTTGGAGTTCACGAAGACGACAACGTGGTAGTGGGTCTTAGTCTATACGCTGTTCGCAGTGTCATCTCTTCCTTTGAGCTATTGCTGGAATAAACAGTGGTGTGTATCTCGCCAGTTAGAGGTCACTTATACCAGATTGCGCTGTGCAGTTCCACAACTAAATTATTACCTTAATAAAGCTCGGCTCAAGGCGTCACCGCTATGCATTTGGTGCAACGAAATTGAAACAATTGAACATTTCTTTTTATTCTGTCATCGTTATTCTTATCAGAGAAAAAGATTTTTAGTAGCCCCATTACAAAAGCTAGGAATACAAGTAAATTTACCAGTAATTTTATCACTTGGCGGAACTTCATTTGGTTACTGCCACAGGGATGTATGCTCCGCTGTGTTTGATTACATCAACGCAACTAAAAGATTACCATGCTAGTGAAACACTACCTTTTCAGATCTTTGGTTTATAATTCGTACTTATGTCTTTCAAAAACAAAAGATGGTTTGACTGCTTGCTCAGCACACATTTTTGTTTTTTGGTAGTATTATTTTAAGCTACTTTTTCAGACTGGCTTCATTTTCAATTTAGTTTCATTTAAGTATCCTGCCGCCCGGTTCTTGGCCCATCCCCCTTTGTGGGTAAGCGCCATCTATCAGAGGTCATCAGCATCATCTCGATCTGATCCCGACTGACGACGCCTCCCCGTACATGGGACCCGTAACAATATTTGACAGATATAGCTGATAGAAATGACAATGCCTCCCTCAAAAGGTGGCGTGCGTTGGTAAACAGCAATGGGCTCCGTAATGGGTTAGATCATTGACGTTTGAGCAGTGACGTCAGAATCTGTGAAATGTGACATGAAGCTCAAGGTCTCGACCTAGAACCGTCGACTGCACAGAGAAAACACCAGCCTGAAATTCGCAAGAGGTGCTCGTCGCGTGAATGGGCCGTTTGTGGGTACGTAGGCTCCGTTCCCAGCCGTTGGGCTTATCCAATTCTTAGCCTGTAACACGAGACTGCAGAAGCATGCGGGTATCGTCTTTTTTTTTTTTTCCCGATGTGACGATGATCAAACGGGGCGCCTCGCTCACGCTGACACAACAGCCGGTGCTAGCCAGCTGTAGTATCGTGTGTTGTGGCGGCACAGCGGAGGAAGCAATGCTACTACGGCTTGGGGAGGGAGAAAGTCCTTTTAGAGAATGGAGGAGAGGGATGTTGCGGAAAAGTGATGACACATGGGGAAAGGGAAGTGCCATCAAGTGCCACACGACAGGAGAGGGTGGGAAAGCGTGGACAATGCTCGGGCGCGGATCTAAAAGCAACGTTAGCGTCTTCCTGCCGCTGCTGGTGTTTGTGTGTGTTTCGTCGCTGTAGAGCGCTGGGGAGAGGATGAAGAAAGAACAGTGATGGCGAGGGAGGGCTGGGCAGCAGAAAAAGTCGACGGGGAAGAGAAGGTTTTGCCCTTCCCACCGTGAAGGGGGCTGGCGCACTGTCTAGCGCGAGGCGGAGCCAAGGTTTTTGGGGACCGGGCTTCAGGGGGTTCTTGCTTGCTTGTTTGCTTCACAGTGAGAGAGAAGGGCTGCACGCGAGAGAGGGTGAGGGAATATTTCGAGAGGAAGAATGAGAAGGCTCCGGAGAGAAGCGAAATAATGCAAAGAAGACTCCAGCAAAAACCCAAGCGGAGCTCACGGCTTTGCCGTTGGTGTTTCGATACTGCCGTGAACGGGCGCACAAGTTTTTCTGCCGCCGCACACGCCAAGCAACGTCAAGCGACAAAACCGCAACCCCGCCCACAACGGTTCAGAGTTCCAACACTAACGAGTGAAAATCGAGGCTACACTCTCAGCTGGCGATAATGGAACCACGGTACCTGGAACATCGCGCGTCGGGAGAGCCCTGCAAAGCGACTGGCATCGCCAAGCGACGAAGAGGCTGCGGCAACGCACGAGACGCAACAAAACAAACATACAAATGGCCCGGCGGTCATCGACGCAATGGAACGGAATGGTGCGGCTGTGGCGACGAACTCTTGTGCCAAGAAACGGGCTCATTGGATGGCCTTCCCTCCAAGAAGCGGCTGCGGCAGTTGTAAAACATTTCGAAGACACTCGGCACCGGCACAAACGGGAGGAACCTTCCACACGCGTCTCGCTCACGTCGCCATCTGATTCCACTGGCGGAATGAGAAGCGCAGAAAAAAGTGACGTCATGGATTTTTGGTCGCAGCGGAAGCGCCAAAAAAACCCGAAACGGCAAAGGGCGCAAAAATAATTTAACCGCGCTTCATTTTGGAGGCGAATTGTGATTAGTTCAATTAGAGGGAACGTTTAATTGGCTCCAACTCTTCAACGAAGGTAGAAAAAAAGAGGCCCTTTTAACGCTTTCGCCCAGCCCCGTCGCGAGGGCGCCCCCCTGAGAGCCCACGTTACGCAAATGCTGCGCTGACGTCATGCGCCCTTCCGACCAACCGGGCTTCGTCGAAGCTTCACCACAGGGTGAAACTTTCTCCGTGCCAGCCAATGAGAGCACGGTCGGATATTGGCATGTTACATGACGGGTGAGTGTGTTTCTGAATATTATTTTGCTGATAAAATTTTCGGGGGGGAAACATCGCGTACCCGAACTAGCCAAGGCTCGGTTTAGAAGAGTTGTCTCGCGATCCTAGCGTGCCTAGGCCACGACAGTGCGGCCGGCAACGCGTTCGCGCCAGATAGCCCCTGGCCCCCCGAACGACCATCCCGTGGCGTTTTCCTCGAATAGCGCCCCAGAGCGGAGAGAAGGAGGGGGGTTTGATGGAGAAAGAAAAAGAAAGCTCGCACTCTGGGTCACGGGCCGAATCAAACTCGAGAGCCCCCGGTGCTTGCCCTTGTACCCTAACGCACCTCTCACGGCTGATCGTCGCGGCTCAAATAGCGGCCAGGCCAAATGGGACCCGCTGTCACTCGGGCTTCCGTGCACGGAAGCCAGTCGGCAATGGCGATCAGGCCTCGCTGTCAAGGGCACGCCAGTAGGTGCCGGAACGACTTCTATCGGGCGTCGGGCACTCGGCCGCCTCGTGCTACGCTCGAGTTTTATTGCCTATTCATTCACGTGCTCGCGCCAGCTAATGGTGTTTGTTCCTGTGCTTTCGTACGACGCGAGGCTCAACGCCCCGAACGTCTTTTGTGTTTCCGAGATTAACGAGAGTGCCTGCGCCGTAAAGGCCGTTGAACCGTGAAACTCTCGCGGAGAACGGTAGCTCGGCCTAATCCATCAATGAACCGGCTTGCGCACGGTTTTCCCGCTAACATATGATACCAAACACCGTGTTCCTCTTTCCTCCTCACCCAGCTCGAGAAAAAAAAAAAAAAACGCGTAGTATTCACACACGGCTTCGGTCTCGCACGGATCGTCCGTCCGACAATCACGGACATTAAATACGCTTCGAAATAAGTGCCTCGGGTTTGGTTTTCACTGACGTTAATTTGCAATCAATTCCAATATTCTCCCTGTTACCCTCCCCCTCACTGCCTTGCCGCATATTTTTTTGCAATTTTTTTCCCACCTTCCCCCCCTTCTTTCTACCAACCCGCCGCTGCGACCTCGTTTGGTTCGCAGACGGACGCAATGGCCAACGGCGGCAGCAGCAGATGCGTAGCATAACAAACATGGCGGCCAACTCGACGACCGAGGACTGCACGGGCTGGGGGGCAAGTGGCGCTCGTTGGCGCCACGGCTCGCCATTCTCCGTCCGAAGCGGTGTCTCCGGAGTAGTTAGAACGTGCCCGATCCAGAGCCAGCGACGCGCGAGAGATCGTCCGGGGAGACAACGAATCGAGGGGAGTCCGTGCTTGGCTCCGTGCGAGGACGCCGTGGCAATCTCGGATGGCCCGAGACACCACTGTCGGCTGTGTCTAGCGCGCCTCAGTCTCGACCAACGGAGGTAAACGGTGCATCCTGCCTTCGCTCTCGCCAAGCTTGCGCGGTTCTACCCCCCCACACCCCGTGTGCTGTGTGTGTGCGTGTGTGAAGCGCCTTCTTACATCATGCCGCCGCCGCCCCGAAAATAAATCGCGGTGTTGCTTCTTCCCCCGCCTGTTCACCCGCCCGTCGTTTGTCGACCTTCGTCTCGCTCGCGGAGACACGCGAAGAAAAGAGCGGGCTTTTTTTCTAGCCTTCCCTACCACATGGGTCGGAGACCTCGGTGGGAGCATCGAAGCGCCTTTGTTTTTTGTTTTGTTTTTTACTTCCTCCTCTTAAGCGCATCTGATCACGTCGATAGGTTCGATCAGCGCAAACCCGATTCGCGCCGTCTGCACGTCCACGCGGTTTAGCATGGCTTCGTCGCGATCAGCTGCTTCGCGCGTCCGGCAAGCCACGCGACTTTGAACGAGACCAACGTCACACAGGCGCGCGTGCTTGCACGGCTGCTTACTTTTTGAAGGAGAGAGTTACGTCGTCAAAATCGAAGGCTGCACGTGCTCACTACAGAACGCGTTCGCGTGTTGCCGCGATACGCTTGGCCAGGTAGACGCGATTGTGGGATTAAACCCGCGATATGGATGCACTGGTTGTTTGAACAGCACTTAGGGATCGTGTATATCAATGCTAGCGTCGAATTCCGTTCGTTGCATTTGTGAATGTAGCAGGTGTGTTAGAGCCACCGGCCGTACAAACTACACACATGCGAAAAGTGGCAAGTATGCACTACTGCAGTGGATAAACAACTGTTAGTAGAGAGACTGCTTAAGTAGCGCTTTATAAATGATGCAGGTCCTTTTAAAGAGGTGTCATCAATTATACATGCTTGAAATACAACGTATCTGCTGAATTTTGAACACATGCCATTTATCGTGCTCTATTGGCTTTCCTCTGCTAAATGGTGGCATGTCATCAATCTGCCATGACATAACAAAGCATCTTTGTTCCATCAACAATGTGGCTACAAAAAAAAAGGTAGTAGTATGGTTCAATTTTCTTCCGCATCACAAACACCCTGCTTATAAAACGTGTACAACATGTGCCTAAACAATTCTCACATATGTAGTAAACTTGCCAACCACACACATGGAATGGTGGTATTTGAATGTAGACAATACCTGCACTTGATGTAAGAAAGAGGCACTTTCATCGCCAGCTTCGGGGTCTCAATATAATGCTCAACTGATTAATGCTACTATGTCTCTCAGTCGCAAGTATGAAGAACAACACATTGCTTATTTGGATTGAAGCTTTCAAGACTAATCGTTAGGAAGTTGAGCTAGCGCGGGTTTGTGATGAGCCGGTTCAAGGAACATTTGTACATAACCGATAGGAACCCGAGTTCAAATGAAATTGTTTAAAGTGTGACATCATAGCATGTCACGCCTACCTCATACCTATAAAATTAATATGGGGTGTCACACCATGGCATGTCTTCTATTCGTATTGTGCTTATGATTAGCAAAACCACAGAATTCGAGTTTTTATCTTTTCGGTTCTGCAACATTGGCTGCTGAGAATGAAATGGAATGTAAGCTATTGCCATCTCCTTTCACACTTTTTCTTGTTTTCTATCTCGGTATTGGGCTAGCTGTGACAGCGTATTACGCATCTTTTCCTTAATGCACTTTTGCTCATTCACCAGTAAAACCACTATTCAGTTTTGAACTGTGCTGCCCGATGTTGCCAAATACGTTGATGGAGCATGGTGCAATAGTTACCTGTTTGATTTGTGTGAGGGAGCTTAGTAGCAGGAGCTCATGTATCTACAAAGCTATTGGACATCAATTCTATTTTATCTCGGCCAAGTTTGAAGTGTTTCAGAGCTGGTCCTTAGAGGGGGCTGTATTATTGCCACTTAGAAAAATGCGCGCTTGTAGCCGGAGGAGCAGGAGTTTGAGCGACTGTGGTAGCCAAGATGCACATCGCTGACGGATTGAAGGTTGACAATTTAGGAATTTAGGGCTAAGTAACGAGCATACTTTTGTTTTCACCTTGTTCGGTTGTTGCGATACCAGCGCGATTTCGACTTGCACAGCTACATCAGAGCCACCATTACCCTTGAGTGACCGGATTCGTAGCAACATGATGCAGTTAGTTTGAGCATTTAGCATAACAGTCATAATACTAAATGTATTGATGTTGTGCTTAAACTGTGACCGCTTGATATAAACTTGTACTGTTACCTGAAGCCCTACTTGGTCATTGTGTGTGTCTGTTGTGGCTATTTAGTCCCTTACGTCTCGAGTTGTGTTGAAGTAATACCATGGCACAAAATAGACCAACTTCACCTGGCTTTCCCTGTCAATGTGACGCAATTGGTCTTGACTACCCTGCAGCTCTTTTGTCTTCTGCAAATAGCACTGTCATGTTGTGCTTCTCTCTCTACGACAGTGCACACTGGGGATTTCGGTTCATTTATGCTCACCTGTTTACACGGAAGGAAACTGTATGAAGGCCACAGTAGATTTCTGACTACATGCATTCACGACAAGGAAATGTGCATTACATGAAACATGTGAAAGCGTGATTGCATCTCTTTACCTATCTCAGTTCCCCAAAACAGCTCACTGCATCAGTTTCGTTTCGTGAGCCAAAGCGAAACTTCGGCATATGCGCTGCTTAGTCCTCACTCCGGCATATTGGAATGAAAAACCGAGAAAACCAACAAACTTTTCATGATGATTAGCTCAGTTGTTGGGTGAAAGGGCATAGTAGAGAAACACGGAAAGTTTCTGAAACCAGCGCCTACAGCCCATTGCTTGTGCTCGCAACCAAAATCATAGTGGCCTGTTTACATGAAGCATGAAAGTGCACAGTCAACACAGAACTAGAAGTTATGTTTAGTTAACCAGTTATAGTTAAGTGTGATGTCGCTATATCGTGAAAACTGCGGTCAATATGAACAAGGCTACACTTGTCTCGAATAAGGCTTTTATAAATTCTGCCTCGGCAAAAGTGCCGCGCTGCGCAGGTTGACGGTGTGGTTTTGGCTCCCGGCTTTGACAGTCTCAATTCGATGTGTGCAAAGAGCAAAAGCACGTGTACTTATGTTTCAATAGTGTTACAGAATTCCAGATGGTTAAAATTAATATGGAGTTTCACACTATGGCATGTCTTCTATTCGTATTGTGCTTATGATTAGCAAAACCACAGAATTCTAGTTTTTATCCTTTTCGGTTCTGCAAAATTGGCTGCTGAGAATGAAACGGAACGTAAGGTGTTGCAATCTCCTTTCACACTTTTTAAGCTAACATGACTACTGAAACCACCATCTTACCAACTTTTCTTGTTTTTCTGTCCAGGCGATTCTATAAATAATTCATGAAAATTGATGCGGCACATTCATTTCAGAGTGGTGTTGTTGTTCACATCCAGTTTTACTTTCTTGAGTTTGGTGTTAACATATAAGGCTCTACTGTCACAAAATGTTTTTTCATGCTGAAAGCTTTCAGAACAGTAATGCGAGTGAATTCTTTAAATGTTGCGTCAAACAACGCCCCTATCTCCTCACTGACAAGTTATTTCTTCAGGTAAAGTTGGTCTCTGCATTTCCGATGGAGGCGGAAATGTTGTAGGCCGGTGTGCTCAGATTTGGGTGCACGTTAAAGAACCCCAGGTGGTCTAAATTTCCGGAGCCCTCCACTACGGCGTGTCTCATAATCATATAGTGGTTTTGGGACGTTAAACCCCATATATCAATCAAATCAGGTAAAGTTGGTCTGTTTTGCACTCATTTTGCAGAGTGTTTATTGCCAACACTTTCGGAGAGACAAGCTGGGCTGTATGGAGGCATGTTGTGTTTTTGTGTGTGCGTGTTTTGTGTCACAAGGTGTGTTCATGTTTTGTTTTTCCCCCTCGTCCCCCTTTGTTTTTTTTTCCTCCCCATCCCCTCACCAGGCCAACAACCAATCTGCTCTCAGTAGCAAATCAGAGTTCTGCATGGCCTATTCCATGTTTTCGGAATGTTCAACCCAGGTGATACATTGTTGAATATATATCTTCTTTGACATGTTCTTCCTTTTTCGTTCTCGCGATCATCACGTTCGGCTGTTGCTTGTGCCTCTCCTTCTTTTTCTCCTCTTCGCAGATGCGTCTGTGTATTCCACTAACCACGATAGTTAACAACTCTGTACCTTTGTCTTTTGCCTGTGTCATGCCAAACTAACACTAGATTTGCCGAGTCCTATGCTGCTCATTTCGGATCCTCTGACAGAGGTGCTCGGGTTGTTTTTTTTTCCAGGGACCTTTGCAATGGATGATGGGGGCCGATGTCTGCTTGACGTTATAAAGTGAGTAGAGGCTATCTTTAAACTATGAGGCTAATGCGGTGCACCATCACAAGGTCACATAAAATGCTTTAGTTCAGTGCAAGATTTCACTGTGAACCCGATGTATTATTAACCACTTGAGCACCAGCGAGAGTATGTGCGTGTGCTCGGTGCATGTAACATATAATAGCGTCAGCAGTTGCTTGGGTTTCAAGCCAGTGCCGTTATACTTTCAAAAAAAGCACGCTAAAGCAAGAGAGATAGCTCCTTTTGAAGCTCAAAGCAGTGCTCATATGAGTCAACCTTCTTCGTCGATTAGCATTTTTTGTCGCATCACACCAACAAGTTACCTCCCAGCGTTCAATCTTAGATGCATCGAAAGGTTGGTGGTGGCTGACCACAATCCTTCAAACTTAACTTCATAGACGTGTCCTGATTATATTCACACACCGATGCACATACTTCACAAGTACAAAAATTAAAGAGGAAAAGAAAAGCTTTAGTGTGAACGCAGATGCCACGAATGTAGTGAATAGTGGCTTTGGTCATGTGCAGTTTCATGGCATATTTCGGCAGTTCAAACAAAATCGCTGAAGCTCCCGTGCACTCACACGTGCGAGTGAAATGGAAAAATGAGAAAGGCATTTTAAGAGTCTTGCACTTGTGACCGAAAAATTGTAGGTTATGTAAAGTGATGCACATCTAGCTTAACTGTATGTAACGATAGGTCTTGCACTTTTGTAATGCAAAGTATAACTTGTGTAACCATATTACACAGGTGGCGTTGCGGAAATCAACCTAGTATTTGCCATAAGACGGTAAATTAGGGCGTTGCTATGACCAGGAGCCTCGGCGCATTGTCTGTGTTCGCTACTAAAGGGTAGTACGCTGCATATCACGAAAGCGTAAAAGTGCGTGTGCGATCCAATATTGCACTAGATTCACAGACTGTGGTGGCTGCATTACACTCGCAGGTCAGAAATGGCTGCATTAAGGAGGCCGTAAAGTGGGGATCATAAGAAGCGCGAACATGGTCGGGAATCTTCGTTCTCTACTGCCTGACTTTTTTTTTTTTTTTTTTCAGGCGGTCGTAGCCTTAACGGTTTTGAAAAGCCATTACAGTCGTCTACATCAATAACTACCTAGCATCTTTTCATTGCCACACTGTTCGCGTTTCTATACGCACCCCCAGATCATACGAAACTTCTTACGACTACTCAGCTTGCCCATTTTTTACGGCATTGCCTGCCAAGCATGACGTGCGAATACACAGTCTTTACAGGTAAACTAACGTTTTTTTAGTGGGACTAACGTTTGTCACTTCTGGCATTCTTTTTTTCTCAATCTTTAGCGACCCCCTGCTGCTGCAGTCGTTTCTTGAAGACAAGAACGAGGAGGCTTCGAACGTGAGTAAAAACTACCTGTACCTTAATCATGCAACAACTTTTGTCAACCAAGCTAACCTCCCATTGCTTTGAGAGGATGCACTTTGAAGTTAGCATCTTTTAGTTGACGCCTGGCGAAAAGATCTACACGGAATTTGCACTCAAGTGCCCTTTGCTAGTAAGTGCGTGAATTGAATTTACTTCACCGTGTCAATACCAGCAACCTCGTCGGGTTTTCAGTCATCAGGCAAAACTTGGAATTTCGGGGAAATAGGTCGGTCATGGAAAATTGAACACATCACTCGCTGCGAGTTCGAAGATAACGTCCATAGTTGCTGCAGCATTATTGGGCTTTTGTGGAATGTTGTACATCAAGCCAAAGCTTTGCCATAGCAAGTGTGGAAAGTAACCTGCCACAATATGCTGTGAGTAGCACGGAAATTTGCTGAATTTTTCACAACTGACAAATTTCAGGAGAAAAAAAAACAGTGTAATGCTGTTTTTTGCAAGTTTTGTGCATGCGGGTCTGGCTGGCTAATTTGAACAAGGTGAAACATGCAATTCCATCAAATGTGACACTGCGCTTTAGTGGATTTCGGGCTTTCGAGCGCAGCTGTTAAAGACAATGTAAACTAGTTTATTAGGTGTACCAAGCTTGAAACTGCCTTTTTGCTCTTGTCTCAAACCTCTGCTGTCGTAGATTGCCAGGAAGTTTTTACAATTTTCAGGAAAAATTTCAAAGACTTTGTTAATACCAGCATACACTCGGCGCCCCGCCGCGGTGGTCTAGTGGCTAAGTACTCGTCTGCTGACCCGCAGGTCGCGGGATCGAATCCCGGCTGCGGCGGCTGCATTTCCGATAAAGACGGAAATGTTGTAGGCCCTTGTGCTCAGACTTGGGTGCACGTTAAAGAACCCCAGGTAGTCGAAATTGGTGGTTTTGGAATGTTGAACCCCACATATCAATCAAGCATACACTCGGCAACAACTTTTTTTGACACCATTGTGGAAGCTACGGAACCGATGCGCATGCCTGCTGCCATGGCAAAAAACAGTACTTTAGTTCGCTGATTATTATTTTATGGGCATTGCGAAAATAAAAGCTGCTTTATTTATTATAAAGTTCGTATAGTTGCGTGAAGTCAAGGGTGATATACAGTTGTTGTTAACTTTATGAAAATTCCTTTATTTCGTTTTTCAGAGAGCACTGCCCTTTCAGCACGCCCGTTTTCCTATGTAAGCACGGCATCCATAACGTAGCGGTTCAGTGCACGGCTGAAAATGTGCTGTTTAATTCTTCAAGAAAGATATGCTCATAACAAGACTACAAAATGTACACTAAACAATCGAAATGTTTCTCCCATTCACACGTTTCGCATGTATAATTCTCTGAACGTCTTAACGATGCAAGCGAGCAAAATCTAAATGAGCCACAAGCTCCTGTGCCGCACTACTTGCGGGGCAGCACGAATGTGCCGAAGACCCGCGTCCGTAGCGCATGCTCGATTGACGATATAAGCGGCAGTGCCATTTAGGAGATTATGGAGGGTCTTACTGTTCATATACGTACATACAAGCATGCACGAACATGCACGGAGGTTACTTGCATGGTACATTCGCAACGGAGCGGTTCACAGAGCATTGCATGGTCGTCGACCCAGGAGTTGAGCTCGTTCGAGAGTGCCCTGCTAGGCCGGGACGAAGTGAGCAGCACCACCAGCTGCCTGCCACCCCGCTGCGAGTTGTCGGAATCCATGGGCTACAGTTGCTCGGGCACTGACAAACCCGTGGCCCTCGCCGTTTCCGCGACCACCAGCTCAGACGTCTCGGCCTCCTCCTCGCCGCAGCTGCTGGTCAGCTCCTCGACGGTGCCCCCTGCCGCTCCGCCACCTGCCACTGGTGCCAGCAATGGCCTGCCGGGTGCCTCGCCACATTCCACTCGCTCCTCCCCGGCCAGCAGCCGACCACACTCGGCGTCCCCGCTCCCCGCCCCTGTCCCTGTCTCTGTTTCGTGGTCTACGACGGGCCCCAGCGCCGTGCCTTCGCGGAGCCAGAGCCTGCCCTCATCGTCGGCATCGACACCGGCAACCACCAAAGCAACTGCCACCGTTGCCCCTCTGCCCGTGGCGCCGCAGCAGGCACCTGCGTCGAGACCCGGCGTCGCACAGGTACTGTGCGCCTTTGCGTTTCATGAGTGACAAAACGGGAGCTTATGGGCTTGTTTTTCTTTGTTAGACATGACATTAATGACAAACAGACAACGAGGACAAAGCAAGTGTGAAGTATGTCATTTGTAGCAATCACCGTTTAAAGGGGAAAAAGTTGAAGTGAAGGTGATTTGCTATCCAGCAGGGTTCATTCCTGTGACACTTGCATAACACCCCAATGCTCTACCAATTGAGCTACGGCGACAGTTGTCCTACCGTTCACTTTATGCAGTATATCTCTGCATTTAAACGTGCGAGTGTGAGTCGGCACTGCTTGTAGCCATGATGTTAAGTGTGGAACGCTCTCCCTGCCAGCGACAAGTTGTCTTTTCGTCTTCTTTAGCTTCTTCACGTTTATACCATAATTACTGCAAATAACGTCCTCTATACTTTCTTCGGTCTGACTGCCCGTTGGTTTTATTCATAGCTTTGCTGTCCGGCGGCTTTGACAGCGTGGAACTGATCAAGCTTTTTTTTTTGTAACATTCATTACACAACCAAAGCGTAATACAGAGAGCATGGCTGTATGAAAAAGATAACGTAGCAGATGCAAGTTATAACTCTGCATCTAAAGCAATGTGTGCTTCAAGCACTGGGAAATAAGCCAAGATGATCAGAACAGTTCAAAGTAAGAAGCAATAGAGTCATTAAGAATCGAGTTGCATTAGTGCTGTCAGCGATATGTGAACATGTTATCAATTATGCGATTTTGGATGTCCTTAGATCTCACGTCAGCATGTATAAGTTGCAGAAAGTTGATCTGCTGACTTCTCTCCTCAACCAGGTGGTTTCGGCCAGCCCCAGTCCTCGCACCTCTGGTGCCCCCCGGCTCATCCAGCCGAAACAGCCACAGATCCTGCCCAAGCTGTCGAGCGGCAGCGCGAACATGACGACGCCTTCGGCAGCGGCGACCACCCGGTCCCAGTCTCCCCGGGCGGCCCAGCACAAGGCCACACCGCAGCCCGCGCCTGTACCGGCGCCGCAGCCTGCGACCACGGTGCAGCGCGGAGCCGCGATGGGGCTCAACACGGGGAGTCCGCTGCTCATCGGGAACCCCGCGGCAGCGCAGCCGGGCATGTTTCCGGCTGGACCTGCGCAGGTTTGTGGCCGCGCGCTGCCCTTTGTGGATGTAATACTCAGTGAAGCACGTCGGATGTGACAAAGTGCTACTTTCTGCGGATGCAACGATCACCGAAGCACAACGTACAATGTTACACAACTTGAAAGGCCCTTTAGTGTTGAAAAGACCTAGTAACTGTACTCATTTGCATGTAATGTGACAATGACTGTAATGCACGGGGCAACCTTCAGTCTTGCAAATACAGATGCTTTGAAGCCAATCAAATCATTTGCATGTGATGTTCCAAAACATGCCACAAATCAAATGCAAATTTCACTGCAATCATTAGTTGCGCATGTATTTAAGGCCTCATAATTACACTTTGTTAGGAGTGCTTGAATCAGCCTGATAGTTATGGGAGGAACGACTTGCACTGTTGGATAAGTGGGTTTCTGCGCAGTTGCCAAGATTGTTTAAGGGTGCCCTACCTTCTTGCCAAGAATGTCTGACGGGACAATTGTTTGTTTCCCACCATTAACCCCCAATGCAGGGCACTTTCCTGCTGAACCAGTACATTCCGGGCCTGGGCCACAGTCCGATTCTGATACAAGGCGCACTGGGGCAGATCCAGAGCTCTCTGGGACAGATACAGGGGGTCCAGCTGGCCCTGCGGCCACCCCATGCCACGGGCCTGACCCTGGGACCTCAGACTGGGCCCAAGCCCCATGGGGGACATCCAGGACCACCTGGCACCCCGACGCTTGTCATCCCACAGAACCTGGGGCCAAGGCCCAACATCTTTCTGGCACCGCCACGCATGATGTCGCCCCCCTCATTTGCCATAGTCCCGGGACAGCCACTGACGCTGCAACAGCTGCAACAGCTGCAGGCCATGCTGCCCACGCAGGTGAGGAAGTTTATTAGCAGCAAATGTTGCACGATGTCATTTTCTTGTTATTTCAATAAGAAGACTCTCCCGAGCAAAAATTCGCTGTTTCTGTGGTGTTCCATGTACGATGCACCACAATAACATCCTCTTCTTCATGCTCAATACATCAGATGTCGCAATACTGTGAGGCTGGCTAGATGACTTGTCATAAATGTGTTCACACCAACAAATAGTAAATTTTTTAGGCTGAATATTGCATCAAAAGTTTTGCGCATCACAAGTTATATGGCTTGTTTTATGGGCTATTAATACGCTGTTTCAGGTAATTTATAGCATGGTTGTTCTCACCTCATTGTATTGAATCTGCAGCCAATTATAACGCCTCACGTGCAGGCTCAAGCTTGGCTAGCACAACCACGAAAGCATACCACGAGATGTGTGAAAATATACATTTTGCTGATCGAACCTCTTGCATAGCTTTGGCAGCGTTTGCACCTGATGTGTGAAAAGGTGCCTGCGTTGTGTGCAGACCATGCTGGCCCAGCCCACACTGGGTGCTTTCCAGACAGACCAGCACCAATCCCTGGTGCAGATACCAACGTTCACTCAGCCGCAGATACTGGCACATGACCACCATCACCACCACCACCACCACCATCATGGGGCCCTGTCGGGACCTCTAATCTCGACAGGCGGCAGTATAGTGTCCTCTGCACCCAGCGCCAACATTGTCACCCACCATCCTGTCATGACCACCACGACGGTGCTGCATCCAGCGCCACCTCAGCACATACCTGCGGTGAGCACTCATCTTCTGCACTCAAGCCTCATTATAACGAAGTTACATCTATTGTATCTATTGCAAGTGTTCTTCATTTACTTCATTATAACCAATATTTCGTTATATCCCAGTTTGTTACATCGAAGTTTGAGTGTAGTACCAAACAGAGTCACGTGAGGGCTACACTTTTTTTCAAGTGAAACTTGTATTGCCTCACAATTACCATTGATGTTGAAGGTGTCACAGCAAAAATACCCAAATGCATGCAAATGCGACATTGAAGCGCATTTGCGTCACGCGTGCACCTGTCAGTACCATTTCACGATAATGTATTTGAGACCCCCTTTTTTTTATTTTTATTGATATGATATATAAGGAGATGTTGGCGCACCATTATGGCGCCGGCTACTCCTTATTGAGACCCCTTAATTAACCCCTCAATTAGAGACGTGCCTCTGGGAGCAGTTGTCTTTTATATGAGATGTCTCTTATATGAAGTGTACCACGTGCATGTTTTCTTTTATACACCTATTTCGATGCAGGCACATTGGTGTCTCTCATACCCATTAGTCGCTTACATCAGTGTTTCTTATGAAGGGGTTCATCTGTATTGGGTTTCTGTGGCTCCGAAGCCGGACTGGGTTGTTCACTCTAAATATTCATATAACAGGCATGAAATCCTCCAAATACTATATGGTTTCGTGTCACGACAAAAGTGAACAACGCCCCTGTTCTCATTTTAGAGTGCTTTGTTGGACTTAGAAAAACTTGAGCCCTTCATTAGCTGGTGTTATATACTGCATGACAAAAGGCAAAGACAGTGAAAGGAGTGACAATGTGGTACCGTCTTTATTGTTAGTTGTCATGCGGTTATTTGACTTCAATGCCTTTGCACTACTTTGCTGGGCTGGACGGGTACCTAGACAGAATGTGAGAAGAGCCTGCACCACTATTGTATCGCATGTGTGTACCTAGACAGCCACGTCCAACCATCATTTTCTTTTTTGCCTTGCTTGCCGCAGTCTGTCTCGGCGCCCATGACATCGGCAACGATACAGCAGCAGCCGCAGGCGCCTACTACAACAGCGCCACCGGCCGTGGAGAAGCCCGTAAAAGCGCCCACGGTCAACTTGGCCGAGCTGCTGAAGGAGCACGGAATTATGCCAGAGTCTACACCCCCACCCTCCCCTACGTCCAGTCAAGAAAACACCATATCAGTCGAGGTTCCCGTCGCACCCGCTCCTGTCACAGAGAGTGTGCAGGTCAGTGCAGTGTCAGTGTGACTGTGACGTGTGATCGATGCAAGAAAAAGCATGGCATTATAACATCTTTCACAGGTTCACATCATTCACAAGCTTGAAAATATGAAGAAGTTGTGAACACGGAGAGTCGCTGTAGCCAATGTCCTGACAACATTCAACATTTCGACAAGCAGTTGCAGACTGCTTGTCGAAATGTTGGCTTTTGCAACAGCCTGTGCGAATAAACTTATCATGAGTAATCAATCTACGCTAGACCTTCCATTTCATTTCGGCCCTAAATGATCTCTTAGTTAAACTAGCAGTGACAGTCGTTAGGTTTACTATTTTGTTCGAACAGAAGTATCTACAGTGTGACGTATTTCGAGTGTGTTTGTTTTCTTTATGCTGAATGTCCCGATGTTTATGGCCTCCTGGTTAGGCCCCATCACGTCAGGGCTCTCGTAACGGTTTCCATTTTGTCCTCTTCTAATGTGCTGGTATTGATAGTGGCATGGCACAAAGGAATGGTTGCTGTAACTCCAGACTCTTAGTGATGAGTTGCTTTGGGAACTTATGTGGCTGCGACGTATTCCTGCTGCTGATCCCGTGCAGGTCGTGGTGAGTAAGTCTCCGCAGACTGTGGCAGTGTCTCCTCAGCAGCGCGTGCAGCTCTCGCTGGCACACGACTGGCAGTGTCGTACTGCACCCTCACGGCAGCAGCCTATCCACCATGCCTGCACCGGCACCCTCCCCAGGACTGGTGGCCACAACGGTCACTCCCACGTCGACGAGCGCGCCCGGCGGTACTGCTCTCTCGCGGACCCACTCGGCCCTCCTGGAGCGTCTCTCTGCAGCGCCGCCCGTCAGCGTGCCGGACCTGGCCTCCCTGACTGCGCCGCGCGTCTCGGTCAGCGCACCGACCATGGTGGCAACGCCGTCGCTCGTCGCGCCCTCGGTCGTGACGCCTTCCATGATGGGCGCCACCCCGCACCCTCACCAGCTCACTCTGCACACTGTCAACAACGGGCTGGTGCAGACACAGCAGCTCGGGCAGCCGCAGTCTTTTGTGACTCTGCACGGCACGGCGGTGGCCAACATGCTGTGCCACGGTGCGAACAATGCGCGCATTAACCACATTGTGGTCAGCCCGTCACCGTCTCTCGGGCAGCAGCAGCAACAGCATCATCATCATCCGCATGCCGTGCACCACACGTGTCATGCCGTGGTGAGCTCGGCATCCAGTGCTGTGGTGCCGACGACGACAACCACGGCGGTAATGGCGTTGTCGTCACAGACGGCGGTCGGTAGGACGACAGTGGTGCCGACTTCCATGGCGCACACGGTAGTGACTGTGGCCGCGTGCCCCACCGTGACGACCGTGACTGTGACGCCAACGGTGGTTGTGTCGACGTCGAACAGTAGTGCCACGGCGCATGGAAGTGGGAAGTGTACAGCATCCATGAACACTCAAAACCAACAGGTGGGAAAACCATGGTCTTGCCTTGCTGGCCTTTACGCGAAAAGTTTTTGACGTGTATGTTGCTTTGTTTGTTGTGCTGTGCTGGATGCTTGTCCTTTTGCTATGGTAAGCAGTACGGAACCACATCTGTCGCTTGGTGCATTTTCATTGCTCACATTTAAGATGTGACGCTGATTTCATAAGCTTAGTTTGGGTTCCACCACAGACAATGCATCCCTACTTGTGCATGCTAACTAGTCCTGGTAATTTTTTTTTTCCAACAAAGCCATCTGAGTCTCATCCCAAAACTCTGCATTCTTGGTACAAAGGTGCTGAGTAATGAGCGCAATATTTTTATCTTACATTTCAATCATTCAAAGATCTATGTTCAATGGATTCAGTTGATTCCTAGGTGTCCACATCATAACAGTACCTGGAGAATTTTTATTTTCATTGAAAGCCATCAACACATAGTTAGGAAAAAAAGTTTTATGCATAACCTTGCCACTGTAAACTAGTTTAATGAGAAACAAGCGAGTGTGCCTATGTTGCTGGCACTATTAGTAATAATCTGTAATCGCTGAAGCACTCAACAGCTTTCCACAGCCAACTGCCTAGCTCCTAGAGCAGTAAGGTACACGATGTCAGTGGACAGTATATTTTTAGGAAATCCGAGCAAACTGCTGCAGTTGCACAATTTGTTCGTCAGTTGCACATCACCTACTAATTGTTATTGAACTCACCAGCTGTTGTAGTCTGCATCATCAGCTTCATTGCGTTGTTAAACAGAGGAACCACCACGTTATAGTTGAACTTTGTTGATAAGCTACAAAAACAGCATCTTTAACTCACTGTTTGAGTGATATAGACAGGTTGGAAAACTAATATTGGCCAAAGTGGCATAAAGCATTCACAAAAGCTTTCCTGATTATTTAGCGTACTGTCCTTGTGAAGCACAGCGAGTTCATCAGCACAGTGTGCAGAGATTTTACTTTCCAGTGCAGTACTTACTTAACAGACAATGGCAGCTGCAATTTCGCACGTATGCTTACGCATGCTTCAAAAAAAAAAAAAAAAAGCACAGCATATCCACGGAGTGAATAATGATGAGTGGGGCGAAGTGTCTGTCTGTCTATGCATCTGTCTGTGTGTGCATTCGTCTGTGCATCCATCCGTCTGACGCAGGACGACGTTAGAGTATGAAGAGCTTCACTGCTAAAAACATGGGTGACCAGGTTTTCCTGGTCACCCATGTGGTCACCCATCTGTGTCGTGCACACGCACTTTCCGTAGCACTCGGCACTTGACGGTACCAAAATATATTTTTGGCGTAATGCTTGATCATGTCTAACATGGTCGCAATAGTTGCGCACTTCAGGTAATTATCTCCACCACCCACAGGAGTGCCTGAATGATGGGGCGTATTTTTGAAAATCGTATTCTGAGCAACATTTTTAGAACTTTGACATTACTAAAATGTCACCATAATGCTCCCTATTACATTGCTGAAGAAAATAGCTGGAAACCTTTCTTGCTAGACAGACAAATATAACAATAAGTAAATCAGTTGGAATCCTTAACACGGAAAAATTTCTGATATTGGTTCACTGACTTACTTCTGTAGAAACTTTGCCTTTTTCATATTATCGTAATTAAACGTGGTGTCATGATGCAGTAATGCATTATGTTTCAAATATTAGCATTGAGGCTGGTGATGTTGCACTTCCAAGTCAAGCAGATGTTGATGGCTGAGATCGCTTAGCGAAATCTAAGGCACTGATTGTGTTGTATGTATGTGTTTGTACAAAGGAAATTTTAGGACCTCTCATATGTATTAAATGCAAATAATAAAATGCAAATAGACCTTAGTACCTCTATATTTATCCTGTGTTCTTTAGCTGAATAACTACAAAAGTGTAGGAAGCTCGCACTAGTTGTTCAAGGTTGGACTGACAGGGACATTGTGGCTGATCTAAATTATTATCAAAAATGTCCTAATTAGCAAGGTCATAATCTACAAGGTCTTCATTAGTTGGTATTATTAATTAGCAAGGTCCTCTCACTCCATTTCTAATACTCTCTTTTGTTTGTCTGTTCTATGCCTCTCTTTTGTTTTCTTCAGAAGGCACACACATTGAGCAATTGCCTGTATTGGTCATCCATCGTGTCAACGTCAAAGACTGTGATAGTCACAGGCCTCATTTTCAACCGAATAGATAGGCAAAAACAGAAGAGTGTACTATAACTATCCTTGTTCTTTAAATCTGTATCGCCAGTAGTAAACTGTAATTATTTATTGTTATTCCAAAGACGAGAGCGCGTGCCAGCTGGGTTACTGCATTTCACTTGCTAGGCGCAGCTTAGCTTTCTGGTCACAAACCCACTGAACAAAAAGCTAACACAGAACTTTTAAAGACAGAAATTTGCTCAACATGAAACATCAGGCCTTCCTATGATGGCTGCAGTTGTATGCAGTGTTTCTTCCTGTGTTAACATTTGTTAAACTGCTCTTTGTTGAAGAATGCATTCTTGCTGCATTACCATTTATCACGTGGTGTGGTGTTGCTGGTGGCTTTTCCAGCTCTACGAGCAGCTGCAGTCACAGATCACCTACCTAAACTCCCTGAAGAAGCCCACAATGCAGCAGAAGCTCCTGCTTACGCAAATGCTCGCCATCGAGGAGAAGCTGCGGGACTCGTCCAAGCCACAACGGAGCGCACAAGGCCGCAACCTGGCGCTGATTTCCGCAGTGCCCACATCACACGCACACTGCGTGCAACGGCACGAGGTCAAGCCAACCGTCGTTTCGGTGAGCCACTTTCACATGCGAGAGCACAGCACCCTCCCACTTTACCCAAACCCGACCTCAGCCCCACTGCACCCCTTCTCGTGTCTTTTAAACAGTGAATGGGGTTGGCTGGAAGTGCCCTGGCCTTTCCTGCATACTGCCAGCATCTTAGGCGTTGCAAAACTACTCATTATTTTTAAAGATTACCTCTTGAAAGCAGGCCCAGTGACTTTTGTGAGAGTGCACAACACAGCAGAGGGGGACATAATTCCGCAGCAACATGCTAGCAGCTCTCTTTAGCACGTCAATTTCTTCACACCTTCCATGGTACCAGTGCATTAGCATTTGTGTCGTACCTTGAGGTAACGACCAGTTTTGTTAACTTGAGAACAACATTGTGTCACCTGCCGCTAGCAGAGCGCTCGGTGTTTCTCTAGATCGAGTGTGCACATACTGTTGTATGCTAAATTACATGATGTGATGGTAGATGCAGGATTTGGGCTTTCCAAGCTTGAACCAGTACGGTGAGGCTTACTTTCGTGAAGTGCAAGATGCCATAACGTAGACGGGTCATCTTTAGCCAAGGATGGGTGGCCTGCCTAGTCGCAATTACCGAAAGGTGTTGGTAGTTAACGGGGCTTAAGGCACAAGGCTTTGAGATGCAAAGGCACTGCAGGTTGCAGCAGCGGAGAAGATCAACCTCATTGTTGATCCACGATTCCAAGATCAACCTCATGGTTGGTCTCGGAAGTGGATAATACTGTTCTCTGCAGTGGAATGGCACAGAGGCGCCACAGCATATTAGAGTTGGGAGGTGCAGCTCGGCCTGGTAGGCAGCACGGTGATGCCATTTAACTGGGAAAACCGTTTCACCATTTTGGCCTAGCCAGAACAATTGAATTGACAGTGACAATCATGGAAACTTTGCAACGGGGGCCGCTGTAGGTTGAAACAGTAGCGAGACCGACAAGGTCTGCTGTCATGCTTGCTTATTCGTGGAAGACTAAAAGCAAGCAAAGTGGCTGCTGCGACCAGCAGAACCAGGGCTCATGATTCGAACCATGCTAGCACAAGGTATGCAAGAGGTACGGCATTATTGTGTTATTACACTAATATTGGTTATATGGTGGTAAGTGTTGGTCAATTTTGGTTATCTCGCTTAAAGTTGTGGCAGTGCTTCCTTTGGTGCAACATGGTATAGTCTTGTAGTATATGGGATGTTGTGCTCTTGCACAGGTGTGGCACAGGCACTCCACCTATGCGCAGCTGGGCTTGCTTTCTTACACTGACATTTGCACTTCTTTTTCCGTCGAGCAGCACCCGATGCCTGCCGCAGCCACCATAATAACAGCAAAGCCATCTGCCGTTACCACTGTCCAAGTGCCCACAATCGCCGTTGCCACGACAACGAGGACTACCAGCCGGACCACGCACCACAAAGCCAACCATGCAGATGTCAAGCCTAAAGCTTCCATTCTGCACACTGGGAACGCAGCGTCCATAATCTCCACACAGAAGGTCATCACCCCCCATTCCGTAAGCATTCTTGGTCTTTGTTGTTACGGAGTGCTTCGCACTGGATGTGTGTCATTTGTGCGAGTCACTTGTTTTGCTGCGTGAAGGCCTTTGGGCTGCACAAAAGCATTGATAGATAACAGCGAACCTTTTATTGTCCTTGGTCAATTAGGGAGGCTTGTAGTAAGTCATGTCACTCTTTAACCCCATGCCTCATCAGCAAATGCTCAACAGTGTGGTGTTGGCTGGAATTTCGGAGCCGCAACAATGTCTTTAGAGAGTGTTTGGGTGCGCCAACGTTTATAGCAGTGCTCACCATAGCTAGTTACTTGTGCCGATGAGGCCAATTTTCGGCTCGCTTTGCAGGAAGCTGGTAGTATGGTAGGGTGGAGACTTAAACTTTTTTTAGTGCTATATAACACATTGACCATAGTATAGCAGCGTATGAATAATACTGTAATGACATTGGCGCCATATGGGCACTACCCTCTCGCACAGAGGCAAGGATATACAATGGTGCAACATAATTGTTGCCTCAAAATCTCTTTAAAGTGCGGCGTTGTCATATATCCACCCATTGCTCAGAAATCAAAGCTTGGTGCTTTTTCGATGGTGGTCTCTGTTACTAAGCGAATAACTGCTGCTGCTGCTACTGCTGCCATTTAATAGTGGTGACCCCTGGCAGGGGAAGCCATTGGCCGCTTCTAACTTTTGGCTCTCGCTTCTTTTGCTCTCTTGCCCCCACCCTATACCCCTTGGTCCCACCCTACTGCTGGCTCGCTGGTTGCTGCAGGGACCCGTGCGAATAATAGCCACTGCGTCGACCAGCACGAGCGCTGCTTGTGCCTCCTCTACCTGTTCCTCCGCCCCTTGCTCTTCTGCGTCGGCGTTGAGTGTGTCGTTGGCATCGGCCACTCCGATGCTGTCGTCACCAAGCGTGCCGCTGGCGTCTGCTGCTCCCTGCTGTCATCGCCAAGTGTGGTCACCGTGTCATCTGCGTCGCTTGTTTCGAACGCACCATTGGTCTCTGCTGCACCGCTGGCATCTAGTGGGTCGCTGTTGTCACCACCAACATTGGCGTCGTCAAGCACAACATCCGTGTCAAGTGCCCCTCTAGTGCCCAGCGTGCCCGTGGCACCAAATGCATCGTTAATGTCAAGCATACCGCCAGCATCAAATGCACCGTCTCTAGTGGCAAATATGCCAGTGGTGTCTTGCACACCATCGGCACATGTTGCACCTCTGCCGTCAAACGTGCCAGCGATGCCATGCATTCCACCAGCACCTAGTACATCCCTGGCAAGCATGCCGGTGGTGTCATGCATTCCACCAGCATCCACTACTTCATCTATGGTGTCAGAAACTTTAGTGGTATCATGTGCCCCATCCTCACATTACACCACTCCTCTGGTGTCGCACATGCCGGTGGTGTCTTCGTGTGTTCTATCAACGCACATGACACCTGTGGTATCGAAAGCGATAGTGGTGTCATGCTCTCCGTCAGCACCTGCTGTACCTCTGGTGTCAAGCAAACCGTTGGTGTCATGCTTACCTCCAACATCTACATCGGCAATTATTTCAAGTGTACTGCCAATGTCCACTGCACTATCGGTGTCTTGTGCAACGCACACGTCTACTAGTATGCCATTGGTATCAACAGCGGCACTAATGTCAAGTCCATCACCACTGGCATCGTGTACACCGCTAATGTCATCTGCACCACTGGTGTCGACAACACTGTCAGTGTCATCGGCACCACTGATGTCGACGACGCCCATGACATCGACAGCACCTACAGTGATATATCCATCTCCAGTGTCCAGTGCACCAGTAATGCCAATGGCTCCACTAACTGCGCCAAGCACAACTGACGTGATGGTGCCATCGATGGCCCCTCATCCAGTGGCTTCGTCCCATCTACGTGTAAGTTTTCATTCTGGCCTGTGAAGCACAGAAATGGTGATAGTTGCTTTTCTTTTTTTACTCTTTTTTTTTTTGCATTAACAAAGCATGTGCACCAATTGCTTCTTGTGAGTGTCTTTTCTTCAAGTTATGAAATAGTCGTCAGCTTGAAAGAAGCTCTGTGACGGGATTGCAAGTTTTTTTGCATGCATGTTACTATGCCCTCCAAGGTGAGTAACCCGCAACATTTCGTCGGATATAGCTGTAAGGCCACAACAGTGTGTCTAGAGGTACTCAAAAGCTAAAGCAGTCCACAAATTACATTGGACTCCCGTTAGCAAGTTAACGGAAACTGTAAAACACTTCGTATTAACTTCCAATTAAGCAAAAATGCACAAAAACTGCACTTTTACCTGACAGGTGTCCAAGAAAATAGTCTGTCATTTTGTCTTGCCGAACCTGGCTGTGGCTAGCAAGTTTTCCAAGCACTACACATGTCACTACACATGTCAAAGTGCTTTTTCAGCATTGTCTTTTTCGCAGCTCAAGAGCAAGACCCACAGCAACATCAGTAAATCTCGGTGGCAGTTAGTTTCTATGTAGTCGTCATCCACTAGCCGAACCATCTGCCCAATCTTTCTTTCGTGAACCACATGTATCAACATTGCTGTCCACGACGACAATTTTTTAAAATGGGTGTAAGTAATCATGGCCCCAAGTCTATCGTCGTTGAGTTCACCTGTTTGCGCATAAGTTTGAAAGCACGTCAGGCTTAACGCCGTACTTTCGTGTGATGTCTTGCTTGGCGTTGCCTCCGTGGTCAACTTCTTTCAAGATCTCATACTTCCGTCGCCAGGTCAAGCTTTCGGTAAGGGCCGCGAGTTGCCATTATCAAATGCTGTCGCCACAGCACTCAAAATCAGCTGTGGTAACACGTGCAGAATCAACCCACAGTGCGTTAGTGGGCTAGTTGGTTTATCATGCTATGTTCGAACAGCACAACTGGATGCAGATGGAGCCAAACATGCAAACGCCCACACAGCGCTGTGTGTGAGCGTTCTGCTCTGCCAGCGTCCAGTCGCGCTGTTCTAGGTTCAACCCAGTGCGTGGCTGAAGCTCTCGACACATCACAATGAAAGACCCGGCTAGCAGATGCGATCAATGCAATGCCCCAGCGTTGACTAAGCAAGATGGCCACTTCATGAATTGTGGCGCTGGCGACAACATCTGGCAGCTGTCTTGGCGATCATGGCACATGAGAAATTCCCCATTTTATTAAATAAATTAGTTTCTTCGAGGCCCTCGACTGCGAAACAACTTCCAATTAACCAACATTACAGGCTTTTAACTTTGAATTATCGAGCATTGTTTCCTACGGGCGGGCATGCTAAATTGATGGGACCACTTGTTGACTTCTAAGTAACTGAAAAATTCTAAGTAAGCGACTTCAAATTATCGGGAGTCGACTGGATGAACAGTTTATCATGCACAGTTTCATTCAACAGGCCTCTATGCGGTCACTTAACCGAAACTTATCACCTGCTCCAGTAATCTATTGCATTAAGCCTGGGGTTGCAAGGCCCTGTGCCAGTCACAGTGGTCATGTTTAGATGGAGGCGCATTTGCAAGAGCCCTTATGGAGCAGGATGCACAGGCGCTCATGGTACAAAATTAATCCAGAGTCCACCCACTACAGTGCTTCTCATAATCGTATTGTTTTCACCCGTAAAACCTACAAATTCAAAGTGGTCCACAACACTTTCTCAGCATGGTCAGAAGACTCTTCTGATTAGTACGCGAGGCTGCTGAGAAATGGTGAGCCGAAAATTCGAGCATAGCGCACGGCCTGGAATTTGAAACTAGTTTTCAGAGTTGGGGCTAGGAATCGCCTCTCTTTGCATTCTAATTAATTATCAGAGTCAGCTGGAGAATGCCTCTTCTCTCAACAAATGGTGCAATGTACACAAATGACCGTGCCATTAAACTCAAAGCCGATGACCATAGGCTGATGCAAGTATCGTGTGCTGCACAGTTACCAGTGTTGTGGAGTTGCCACTCTGGAATCAGGAATGACTCTGGAATCATTCCACACTATTGCGACCCTGGAATGTGATGTAATGAGGGCAGCGCTCGGAGGAATGTAATGGAAATGGAATCAAGTGCCTTTTGCAAGGAATGTAAGAGGAATTGTGTTACGTCATTTTTCCAAAAAATGGAGCATCTTTTCGTCTAGACGCTGTTTTTTTTTTTCCCAAACTTTAAACATAAGTAAGTCAGAGTCTCGAGTTTAAGATTATAGCAGTGTTTTAAAATGGCCTGGCTGATTACAGGCACCATATATTTATAAGCAATGCACCTAGTACAATTCTGTCTTTCTACAGATTGTGTCGCTCTTAAGTTTGTATCCTTCGCGCAACTGCGGCTTTATACCATTGGTGTTCGTTGTGTAGAACTACAACAAGGTGTTGCGAGATGCTGCCCGACGCCCATGCACGTGCTCCCGGTCACGCTGAAAGCAAAGTAAGCTGTGCGCTCTAAGAAAGGAAGAATGTGCTCAAGGTTATGATGTGCACAGTACTGACAAAGAGGCGCATTTTCTTGAACCCTTGCCATTCATACACCTCCTTGCATAACCTTAAGCACACTTATTTTGAAAGCAGAAAGGAAGCTCTTGAAACGTATGACAAATCCTTATAACTCTGCTCGTGCTCGACTGATTCTGAAAATTTCTGCAGCAGTTGATTCATGAGGCCATTTAATAAAGTTATTCTATGGTTACTTGGAAAAATGTTTATGGGCCCCTTTAAGAAAGCACTGACATCAAATTTACTCGTGCAGAGATTTTCGCGTCAATGAGTAGCTATAGACCCCGTAGCAGCGATTCGCGACCTAATATAAACTGAGGAATTAATAAATAACACCTTTATTGAGATATATCACTGGTATCTAGTGGGATTCAAAACGGCCAGCAATCCTGCCATTTTTAGCGCTGGGAGCACTACCAGTGGCGCTACCTCGCGGTCACCTCCAGATCGCGCCACAGCTAACACTTCTCCACAGAAAAAGTAACGTCAGGCTCAGCTGCTATGCAATCATTTCGTCACCTGCATTGCCGTCGTCGCCATACATGTGGTCAACTCGGGTTGAATACGATACTCTGGATGTCGATACTCTGGATACTTTGCGATGTCGTGAATCCCCACGATTCACGACATCGCAAATTATTTTTGCTTCGATCGACCCTTTACAGAACAGCTATTCCAAAATGGACGCCGTTTCAAGCAGCACTGAGGAGGTGCCCGAGGATGCATGCTTCAGCCATGTTCGCTCGTGTTCGCTTGTGTGTCTCCATTAGCTATATTCGTGTGTTCTGGCCTGCATAGCATTCAGGTATACACAAAGGGGTCAATGAAAGATGGCTATTGGGAATGAGATAAGGGGAGAAATATAATACGTTCCCTGCTTCTTGGTTCTTCTTTGCACCTCCAGATGGCCCCACTTATCCAACCTCTCATGGTTGCAGCGGACGTAACCCAGTGTTACGCAAACACAAAAAAGTCTACCGACGAACTAAAATTCAACGATACCTGTGTGTTACTTGTTAGCGATGATATCTGTCTATATGCTGTTCCACTTTGATAGCCTGTGGTCGTGTTGGCGTGTAACATATACGTGATATGAAAAGACACCCTCAATGCGCTTCTTCTGCGCCTCCAACGAGACAACTGCAACTCACAACGGTTCCGACATGCTGACTGACAAGCACACGTTGAATCATGCTCTTTTTTTTTTCCTCGTTCTCTTAAAGGTGGTTCGCATCTTGGTAATTTCACGAAATCATTCAAACCGGTGCGACGCGAAGATCAGACGTGACGAGCGAAGTGCATTTTCAGGCTTCGGAGCCAGTTGGCATCACAATAAGAACACTCGGATCGTAGACGTCATCGCTACTATCACATCGTCACACAGGATGGTATGTGTGGATTATCACACCGAACACGTAGCACTAGTGTCGATGTCGCAGGGCACTTCATTTTCAATAAACTCTCGTACGCTGTTTGCCGTCAAAATAAAATAACTTCGACGCGATGGTTTCGATTCATATTTGGTCAACACGATCTATGCACACTGAGCAATCACAGGAAGGGACTCATCTCGATTTTGAAATTTGATGTGAGTGCTCCTTTTAAGTATGATGCAGTCTGAATAATGGTTCAAGAGGGCATGCAAGAGCGTATAGAGCAAACTCAAGTTTGAGTTTATCATGTCTGCGAGATATTTGTAAATTCAATGTATGTTCAACGTGTGTGTATTCAACTGTCGCATCTTCTGTATCTCATTACACCTTGTGTTGCCAGGCGACTGACAAACTGTAAGCATTTCTTTTTAGTTGTTGGCAAAATCCACCTCTCATTTTCCTGTGCTGCCCTCTGCAATGACACATTTCGCAACTTTTTCACTAGGGAAGAGCACACGTGCAGGGGCATCATGAAAAGGGGGGGATAATAGCCTTCCGAAGCTGTGCAAGCCACCACTTTCACGACTAACATTGGTTCTGCGGCAGAACTGCTAAGTGCATTGGCGTTTCTGCTCTGCAAGGGTAAATGGTATGATTCTCCGAAGTGCTAAAAGGCAAGTTATATGAGAATGGGGATGAGTATATGAGAAAACAATATGGGAGGGGCATCGCCAGTCAATGTGCACTCATTGGTGCAAGCTTGCCAAGTTGTAACCAGACTGTGGAGTCTCCAACAGAGTTCCAAGATTGCTTTTTGTTGCACGACATGCAGTGCTCTTCGCACTGCTGCGCCGCCTACCATGTCGCGGCATGGTGTTGAGGCAATCTTACGTGGCCTTGTCACTTAGTAACGGCATGTTTAGACATTGCACCGCTACTGGATCTAATCTCGGAAGCCGTGGCCGATAATCTCAGCACTAAAGTGCACATCACAGTAAGCGGTGCAGCAATGAAGTTTTCCGCCGCTCTGCTACGCGCTGCAGATTCGCAAAATTTTGCGGCTAATAGTACTTTTGTTGATGTTCCAAGAATGTCTTTTAACAACTATACTAAATGTCTCTGTTGCAATGTTAAAAGAGTAGCAGAGAGTATGCATGATGCTATGAGTACATCCCTGTTGACATGTTATCGTAGATCAAGAGCCTTGAAACCAGCTGAGCTCGTGGGACGCTGTCACGAAATTCAATTCAGCTAAGGTGCAACAGAGAAGAAGGTTGGTGCAGGAAAGGGGTGGGGATCGAGCAAAGTGTTGGCTAATGTTGCCAGTTGAAGCAAGGCCTTTTTCATATCCTGTATATAGGTCATTTATGAAAGAAATTGGGGCTTTGGTCTCGAGAAACCACAGATACGCGGGATTGACGTAAAATTTGGATGATGATTCTGAAGTACACTGATAACAAAATATCCGATGTCGCGCTGTCCCCTTGGCGAAAAACACCCTGCTGCGTTGGCGAATGCGTAGGAACACCCGCTTCTTTTGTTCATAGCGTTGCATTGTCAGTGCAGCACGAGAAACACTACGGTTCCCTATAATTACTCATCTATGCATTTTCTGTTAAATAAACACTCCTGCCTAATACTTATGTATGATCTTCTTTTTGGAATATTTGCTTTTTGATCGAGAATGTTCACAAGTATGAACGCAGATCAAGTAGTTGGGTGTTGAGCAAGGGCTTAAACTTTCACCTGGTGGCTAGACAGACAGACCGAAATTTCTTCATTAAAGTATCCAAAGAAAGACTATAATCTTTCATAAAAAAAGAGAGAGAGAGATGCCTGGCTCAATCAGCAGTGTCGCTGGCTTCTTCGACATCGCAGGTTCCTAACCCGGCCTCAGCCAAGCTCGCACCGCTGCTGCACCACTCCATGCATCACCACCATCACCATCAACATCATATCCACCACCACCAGCCATCATTGGTGGGAAGCAGCATGCCATCGGTGAACCAGCGATCGCCGCCCCAGCCGAAGTGTGTGCGGCTGCAGCACCCAACCAACCACATCATTGCACCGCCCAGCACGACCAAGCAGATACTGGTGCAGGTGCCCACTATTGTGAACAAGCCGGTACGTGCATCGGCCATGCCTACACCGGTGTCGCTACTGTAACCGTCTCACTTCCCTTGAAACGTGGTGCTACGGCCGGTTATAATCTAAGACACGTTTAAGCTCTTTCCAAAGAATCGTCATGCTATTCTTCACCTCTGGAAGGGGGCCATGCAAACTCATATCCATAAATGAGGGCAATACTGTTTTTTGGCAAGGTAAAAGTAGGAACCCATTCTTTTTGCGAGGGGGTTAGTATGATGAAAGTCAGTGTGAAAGTCAGTATGATGTGACTGTTGTCACGCTGTTTTTTTGTTATGTTTTGAGAAAAGCTGTATCAAATCGCGTACCCATGGCTAAAATTTGGCTCTCAGGTAACAAAGACCGAAAGAAGAAAGACTGCAGAGACAAAAAAAAAAACTTGGATCGTCAGGCAGCGTTTTACTATAAGATATGGAACAGTTCCTTAGATATAAGACTAAAACAAAAATGACACATTTACCCTACTGTGCCCCCTTAATAATATGAGCAGTTAAAGGAACTGTTTGGGGTAAATTACCACGGAAGAGTGACAGTGCTATAGAGACTCTTAATGGCCAGTAGGTCACTGTATGCTCGTTCTTGTGAAGATCAGTTCTGAAGATTACATGGGAAGTCTCCTTGCGGACTGCATCTAACACAAGTAGATTATCTACACGAAACCACTTCCATTTTGGTGCTCAAGGTGTGCTGGCTGAAGCTGTTGATGGTGCACGCACTTAGCCAGATGTATCGTTTTTTTTTTTGTTTTTTACAGCCTACAAGCAAAAGCTCTGGAGTGGTAACAGCAGTTCTGCAAAGTCTTCTGCTCCTGTGCTATCGAGCAAAGTGGAACCCACCATTCTTCCCAAAACCCCCCTGCCGCCACCCGAACAAGTGAGCAGCAACTACTTCATTTGTCAGCGAAGATGCCAGCGATAATAAAGTAGCACCCCCCCCCCTTTTTTTTATTTACGAAAAATTTTCAGGCCTTAAATGGTACAAACGAGGGGAGCTATTCTCGAACTGTCCATCTAATGAACATGTTTACTTCAGCAGAGCCGTAGGTTGCGGGATCGAATCCCGGCCGCTGCAGCCACGTTTTCAATGGAGGCAAAAATGCTCGAGGCCCAAGTGCTTAGATTCAAGTGCACACTAAAAAACCCCAAGTGGTCGAAATTTCCAGAGCCCACCGTTACAGTGTCTCTCATAATCGGTGGCTTTGGGATGTTAAGCCCCAACGATTATTTCAGCAGAGCGCATTCACTTAGTCAAGAAAGTGGCAAGTCCTGGCTGGCCTCATCGTGCTCCTGACCACACCAACGCATACTGCGCGCTCAGTGCTAAAAGAAAATGTACGAAAACTGGAACAGTCTGTCCTAATATATGAGCACGTCCCAGACGCTTGTGAATGATGCAGGGAATGCATACCAACCTTCCTTGGTGCATGAAATCGGCCACCGAATTAGGTCTAATTCAGGGACACGTGCAATCACAAAATCACTGTCAATGCACAGCAATCAATCCCTTCCTCTCATTTGTGTGGAGAGTTGTGAAAGCTCTGTGACATCAAAAAGATGCTGCGGAAGGAGAACCGGATACGGGGCATGCTGCTCATTGAGCTTCAGCCAATCAACGGCAACCGAAATAGCCATACCATTAGATGGACGAAGTGAATGATGATTGGTGGGGCGAAGCATTTGTCTGTCCGTCCGTCCGTGCATCCCTCCATGTGTTCATCAGTCCGTGCGGCTGTCCGTCTGTCTGTCTGTATGTCCGTCACTCCGTCCATCTATCTGTGTGTCCGTCCATCTATCTTGTGAACGCTCCAAGTACAGCCATTTCGCATAATTTCATCATGTATTCATCATATACAAGTGCCGCCATTCAGTGGACATTATAAGGACCGCTCTTTCGGGTATGTGCCATCGGTGGCTACATACACCATCGGAGGATGGACAGACCCACGTCCTAAGGAGCTTCGCCCATAAAAGCTCCCTGTCTTTTGCTTAGAAACCGTCGTGGTATCTACGTGCTCTTGCTCATTGATCATGTTAATTTCATGTACATACCGTAATTACTCGAATCTAACGCGCACCTTTTTTCCGGTTAAGCGAGTTCATAAATCGCATGCGCGTTAGAATCGAGTACGAACAAAAAAATTACGGTGAATCTATTGCCATCGGCAAATCCAAAATGGCCGCCCCCTACGTGCGTCAGTATAGCGCGTCGGCCATTTCTGCCTATGTGTTTCCCATGTGCGGCACTTCGTACGTGTGCTGAGGAGTTCGTCATCTAGTAGTGCATTTGAATCGACGGCGTGGATGGGCCGACTCCCAAAACTCGAGTGCACCACGATGCCGCTTTTAAAAGAAAAGTCATCGCGTGTGCAGAAACGGACGGAAATCGGGCCGCATCGCGGTCGTTCGGAGTTCCCGAAACGTGCGTGCGGGACCGGCGGAAACAAAAGCAGAAGATTGTCGACAGCAAAACTTCACGCAAAGGCTTCTGTGGACCACACCAGGGTCGGTTTCCGCAAATTAAAGAGCTGCTCGGCGAGTATGTCTTGAGCAGCGAGCGGCACAGCGGCCCGTGACGACAGAACTGCTTCAAGTGCGGGCTATGCAATTAGTCTTAGAAAGAGGTCTAATGCGGAGCCAGTTTATAGCGAGCAGGTGCTGGCTAACTAACTTTATGAAGAGGAAAGGCTTTTTCCTCCGAAGGGAAACGGGCATATGCGAAAAGTTTTGCAAAGGAGTACGATGAAAAGCTTCACAGTTTTCAGAGGTTCGTCCTAAACTTGCGGCGCAACAACGACTACCTGCTTGGGCAAATCGGGAATGCCGATCAGACGCCTCTTTACTTCGACATGCCTGGCACCACAACCGTCGAGAAGAAGGGGGCGAAGCAAGTTCGCGTGCTGACATCGGTCCACGGTAAAACTACGGTGACGGCAATGGTCTGTTACACGTCAGATGGGCACAAGCTTCGCCCGTACCTCATATTTAAATGGAAGACGCTCCCGAAAGGAGTCGTTTTTTCGAGTGGTGTGATCGTGCGGGCCAGCGAGAGAAATGGGTGCGCGTTGCAATTGATGTCTTACGTTTTTTTTTTTTTTTTTTTCGCTGTGGAAATCGAGTGCGCGTTACAATCGAGGGCGCGGTAGAATCGAGTAAATACGGTAATACACGACTACTGTACTCGTGCAGAGAGTACTTTAGAGCAGACTTGTTGAATGGAACATGAAGTAACGAGAAAAATATGTTCCATTTTACAGGAGTTTCAGTTACATTCAAATCTGATTATAACGATCCCATATGTAACAAAATATCAATTATAACGAAGTAATCCAAGAATACTCGTACAATAATCATAGTTTTAAGAATACTATACCTTTATAACGAACTTGTTTTCGTGTGAGATGCTACTTTGTTATAATGAGGTTTGAGTGCGCTGAGCGATGAACAAGAATGCTGAATACTAGTACCAAACCAGTCACATCATAGACAGTTGTTCCAACTCTGTTTAATAGATTTCCATTTACTGAGAGTCTACTGGTATAGTTAAAGTTGTAGCATCGCTATCGCATAAGTCGAGGGACAAGGCATTGTCCTCGTTCACCTTGTTTTGTCCTTTCTGTTGCAGCCTCCTGCGCCCCCTCCTCCCCCGCCGAAGCCAGTAGTCGTCAAGCCTAAAGTTCCTGATCGTGTCCAGAAGATTCACGCGTAAGTGTGTTACTGCGATGAGTACTTGAACTCCGTGCATCGCCCTCTGTGGCAGCACAGGTGGCCTAGCCTACCCAGGACAAAAGCAGGTGGAACTCGTTAAGACACCGTTGAAACCACCATCAACGAGACACAAAGGAGTTCTATTCACTCACAATTTCATTCGAGCGAATGACACCGAAAATTCTAGAAACCGTCGAGACACCGATGTAAGAAGACAAATGGGTATGAGACACCAGTGTGCCTGCTTTGGAATAGGAGTCAATTCTAAAATGAGAACATGGTAACCTGCTTACAAGGACGCCTTGCTCCCCGGTGCATGTCTCTTATCAAGGGGTTCAACTGTACAGTCGTTTAATTTGAATATCAGCAAATGCTTTCATTTCATCGCGGTTAACAAACTGACAGCACAGTGTTCATTTGGGCTGATTCGTAGCCCTTGCCAGGCATATATTTTTTTTCCAAGTAGCATAAACACCAGATATGGAACAATCCCGCAAGTGAAGACCATAGACACTGCATAAAAATGGGGTTCCTGACAGGGGGGAGGGAGGTATTCAAAGGTAACCTGCCACGTGGGGTCATCATTTATAAGTGTTGAAATCACACTGTTGGTCCAAAGTCCAAAAAAAAAAACAAACTTAAGTAGCACCAACCGCAGCACTTCGCATCTACCTCCTCTCCTACCAACCACAGCAGTGCCTAGAAACCACGAATGTGAAAGCACGCGGGCACACTGGATGAGTTAGATGCTTGGGCAGCTCGGGCACTGCTGCGCCGTGTATTGATCGAGCGGCCGTACCTCGGGTTTGCTGAAAGGGTACGCCGGTGGCACCCGTTCGTGGAGCGCGCGCTCGTGAAAGTGGGCAAACAATATGGCGTTCACGATACCTTCACAAAAGCTATGCACGCGAGGGGAGAGGAGCCTGCACACTGACATGAATGGCGCTACTTTAGTTTTTTTTTCAGGGACTTTATGTTGGTCAAGATTATAGCTCCCTCAAGGTTAATAGAGAGAAGAGAATTCATAGAGATTCATTAAGAGCGGACACACCTTGCAAACTTATTGGCTACGTTTGAATGATTGCAGCATGTGCACTAAATTAATTAAAATGTTAACTTTCATTGAATAATGAATGAAATCATTAGCTTTCGAGGACGTGCGCCATATTTGGCAGTTAGCTTTCCAAGAAATTTTCTCTTTGGGTACTACTTAAAGTGTTTCTATAACTCCATGGTGATTAAACAGCATTTATTAAGGTCTGGAATGGTAATTGATAATGAAGTAGTGTAGAGCATTAATTTGCCACATTAGTAACCAAGCCTGTTGCACCAGATGAAAGGATGCATTGCCATCGACGGTGTGAAGACACGCTTAAAATTCAATGTGAGGGACTTGTGCAGTTTATTGCTTTTCTTTTCTTTCTCCTTCTTCAATCATTCTGTTATTCTGTGTGGCAGGTTTCATCAACGACTTATGGAAGACCAGAACGGTGCGGTAACCCCAGACACGAAGACCCCCTTCAGATCGCGGCGCGACACGTGCGAGCGGTTATTGCGGTACCACGTCTACAACTCTGAGTTACCCAGGGAAGAGGATCTGCACAAAAGTACGTCTTCGAAGACATAGTTTTGTTTGACAGGCTCTGCGTCACTGCAAGCTTGTCTGACCAATCGTGCTCTATTCTTGCAGCGGACGAGCTGTTTGCCGAGGTCTCGGAACGCCTGCTGGGGGAGAGTCGAAAGCTGTATCAAAAGTTCCACTACCTCATGCTGAAGGAAGGAATGGTGGGTTGCACCGAAGCTCTTGCTGGAATGATTCTGACCTACTTAGATGCGGGCGAGAGTCTGCGAAAAACTTGCACGATCCCCCTTATGCAATTCTCTTGCTGGAATGATTCTGACCTACTTAGATGCGGGCGAGAGTCTGCGAAAAACTTGCACGATCCCCCTTATGCAATTGCCTAAGACAACTCAAAGGCAAACGACGTATTCTTCTTTTGCTTTTCAATCAATGTAATTGATTTTCACGCAGGTTTTGCCTGCAACTAGAGGAAGTGGTGAATCATATTGTCGGCATGTGCTGAAAATTTGTTTAAAACTCCAGGCTCCTTTCGAATAACAGCTTCCTTTGGGGCATTGCACTCCATAAACTTCCCTGCATAATGCCCAAGTTGTATAGTAGTTAATCGATAGAGGCTGGAGTTTTAGGCATATAAATTACGAGTTTTAAGCACCAATAATAGGCAGGCAAAGCAGCATTTTAAGACTGTATTATTGTAAACATAGGCACAATAAATTTTTCATGATGCAATTTCAAAGGAAGAGGTGCTCGACTTCTATTTACAACAGTAAAACACGGAATGTTATTGTTGAATTTGTTTGTTGTGCACCAGCACTTTGTAGTAGTTAGTCTAGCCACTCAACTTTCAGAGTCCATTTGAATTGGCCCGTTTTGGCAACATCGTGATTTTTGACAGATGTTTGTACGAACCAATGTTCGTGTGTTATTGAGAAACTGCACTTGGCTGGTGAACTTGATAGAAGTGCATGCCTCCCCGTGGTTATGCTACAGAAAAATCAAAGTTCTGCAATCACAAGAACCTTTGAAAGTCAAATATAAAATTAGTGTGTCAGCTTTGCAATCTGGCAGTGCTGACCAGTAGTAATTGCCAGAAATTTATGCCAGCTATTCAATAGAGAGCTGTCGCTAGGGGTCGGGAGAATCTATTCTACAAAAAAGTATTTGCGGAGGTCCCCCGTATGTATAAAGTGTGGAGGTGCCCTTCTCAGCCAGTTTCCAGCAGCTTGGTTTTGCTTGCATCATTATATCAGACACAGGGCCACATCTAGTGTCACCAGTCGCTCTTATAGGGGCGGCGTCACGCGTGCATGGGTGTGAACCTGTGCTGCAAGAAACATGCGCCGCTCGAAACTGTCTTGCAGCCGCATCTGAATTGACTGAGGACGAGGTTAATCCGATCATGACAGCACCTAAGCTTCAAGTTTTATGGGGATATATAATATTTTGCATCGGCCCTAGACATATGTAACTGTTCATGAGTTTGTTTTGTTTACGGCCTCAAGTTGTCTCATCTCCTCCTCCGCAAATGCGTAGCTGCTGGTCTTTGTGCACAATCTTATATCTGGTTAGGTGCGAGGTCCACATGTCGTTAAGGCGCACCATGCTCGTGCCGGCTGCAGAACTCATCATGACAAGAAGGCCACAGGAGCACATCTTCACCCTGACTGCGGAGCAGTGTGCAACGTTGTAGAACTGCACGCGCTATTGTTCTTTTTTTCTTTTTTTACAATGTGCAAAAATGCAAGGAAATATGCTTGGACGCAATATATTGTAACTCCAACCTATGCGTAGTGAGGTGGCTCTTGGAAAGAAGCGACGCTCGATGAAATAGCGATGTTCATTGGGAATCTGATTTACATATGGATTATTCACATCACTGGCATCCATCTATATTGGAACACGTGCAGGCTCTTATCAAAAAAAAAAAAAATAACTGAGGAAAGTGTACGACTTCACTTGGGTCTTACGAAAAAACAAGCAATGCTTCACCGCATGGCGTGGGCAATGAAGCAGCACCTTGGTTCCGATATCCTTTGTCTATGTGAATAGAAACTATTTGTACAACATTTATTATTTTTTATACTGTTCCTGGATTGTTTATCTTGAAAATGTATATTCTGATTTTCCTGTTCTGAATATTTTAGCAAATATAGTGTTTTTTATTGCACTGTTTCCCATCTGGCAACCAAAAATTACAGACTTTTCACATTTTTATTCATTCCAAAATATTTTTGTTGCTCTGCAACATATGTTTTTTGGAAAGAGCATTTCATTGTGCAAAATTCGGTGTGCTGCAATGCTTGCTGGAGTACTGTTCATACTGGCAAAAACAATCTTCCCGAGACACATGAAAAATAACCATTTTTGCATGGTGACATAAGAGTTAACTGGAGGACTAAATTCAACCCCAGAGTTCCGGTCAGTCGTGTTGCGCAGTAACATGAATAATGAGCTCAAACTGCACTTGGAAGCCAAACGTGAGGTTAAATAGTGCTCATTTGAGTGCCAGTTAACAAAACAAGCATCTATAGGAACTGTACGAATGCTATAAGGCCCTCCTTAGCCTCTACTTTATGCTGTGTATATCAAAGTGGTGCAAAGGACCAAAATAGGCATTTGCCTAAAATCTACTCTCTGTCGATCACTACTATTGCTTGGGCCATTACACTATGTGGGATCACTACTGCCACGTAATGTGTGAAGTCAAGAATGCTGTGGCCCCATCCAAATGTGTTTTTCTCCATCTCCTTGTTTCAGAGAGAGTGTTCAACTGCCGAGAAGATCATGGTCGACAAGTTCTTCATTAAACATGAAACCGACGCCTTGATTGCCGAAAAGCAGGCAGCAGAGGAGGGTCAGTGTAAGTCATCATTCGGCTTTATTTCTTTTTCTTTTTTTTTTGTTCCTTGATCGATTTTGATGAAGCTTTGTGAGTTTTTGTGCTGGTTTCAAACATGCAATTCTTTTTCTAGTACATATTATGTGTAGTTTTTAAAATACAAGATATTTCATGTGGCTTTTGAGAAGCAAGACATTTCCTAAACTGAGAGAGTTGCTAAGTAAATCAGCATATCAGTATAATTTGGAATCAACTGCACGCAGTGCAACAAAAAATGGATGTTCTGAAATCTCCTTGGAACAGAAATTACGGCGAGTTAAACATTTGAGTCAGTCAGGCAGCCGGTGTCCTATCGTTTGGTTCCTTTTGGGCCTTGTCTCTGTGCACTGCCTCACATGTAATTATGAGTCAATTTCAAGCTGGGATTTCACTTGTAAAGAGTTTCGCAGCTCAAGAGTTGTAAAAAAGCTGTGTGCTGACCATGACAGTGCGGCATTTCCACTCTTACCCTATAGTGTTAACGTTGCTGCTAAGACACTCTACAATTTGTCTGCCTCAATGTGTAATTCTCATTGCACATGCAGACTCGAACATCGAGCCGCCAACCCTCCCACCAATGCCAGAGAGTGCATGGTCATTTGAGTCGAGCCCGGCGGTGCACTTGCCCCGGCCGGTGAAGGAGGAACCGCCAAACTCTTGGCTCGACGATGACGACCGGTCCGACCTGGAGCCAGCGCCGAAGCGGCGCTCAATCAAGGAAGAAGAGCCCGAGACCGTGGTGGTCCCCGCAGAGATCGATCCACTGCCTCTTCCACGAGTTTCGGTGACGCCGGAGCACATCGACCTCGTGCTGGGTATGCGCAAGGAGCTCGACATGTCTCCGCCGGAAACGGACGAGTTTGCCCGCGAGCTGGCCGACTACGAGCCACCCATGGCTCACTTTCCATCGTCGGCCGGCCTCAAGCAGCAGTTCGGTAATGGCGGCAACATCGTGCCTCCCGTGATGGTGCCCGATTGGACCTGTGGTGTTAAGAGTGCCAAGCCGCCCTCGCCCGAGCTGGACTTGTCGGGCATCGACGGCTTGGATGACGACAGCAGTGGGGTGGGCCCGTTGGGTCGGACTCACTACTTCGGTGACGACGACGAGGAGGAGGACAAGGACTCTGTCGAGCTTCACGACCAAGTCCAGAGTGCCATCAACAGCATCCTGGACTTTCGGCGAGCCGGTGCGGACGACAGCCTTGGTACGGACTCTAAAGGAGCGGTGGCCCGGGGCGGTCCGGAGCCGATGGACTACGACGACGCGACTGGAGATGCGCAGCCCACGGACTCTGTTTTGGACGAAGCCGTCAGGAGCATACTGTTGTGACCTCGGCAGTGTTGTTGCCACTCCTCCCGCTCTGCGTTTTGCGAAACCAGTGCCGACTGTCTCCTCTTTTCGAGCCACACACCCATGTGCAAGTGGATGCGTGCATGTGGTTTGCACCGAGGCACAGTATCACGGTGATATTTGTTGCCCCTCTCCCCCTTCTTCATCATCTCTCACCCTCAGCTTACTTTTTCGTCGTGCCCACTTTACCCCTGTCCTCAGTTCCTTTGCGTTTGTTGTTGTATATAGCACCTTTTTTCAGTGACCTCCGTGTTACGCGGAAGCGGTGAGCTCCGTACAAGGTGACAGCTCCACATTTTGTCCTTACGGTCCAGTTTCATGTTCTTTCAGACTCTTGCCACCATGTCTATATCTTTCGTTAAAAAAAAAAAAAAAAGGCTCTCAAAGACCGGTCACTCCGCCTTGAACAAGCACTGTGCCGATCGTCTTGCAAACCTTGTGGTGAATCAGATGCACAGGCAACCGGTGCCCTGAAGCCCCAATCTTGGCGTACTCGTGGTAATGTGCAGAGTCATTTGGTCGATTTTTCTTTTTGTTATCTCTTAATTTTTCCTTATTTACGTCTTGTCCTGTGCTGTTGAAGTGCTTTTTCGAAACTCCGTGGGGGCGGGGGGCAGCTCTTGTGTATATGTGTTGAGGTTGATGCAGTCGCTAATGACCCTATTGCCATCATTTTTTGTACTGTTGTGCAGCCCCCTTTCTTTTTTCTCCTGCTAGGCACGAATATGCAAATCTTGGTGCGTCTAGCCAGACATGCAACTTGGAGGTCCTCTTCATTTTTTTTTTTCTTTTGCGTTTTTGAGTTTTCAGCCTCCAATCTCCTACTTAACCGAAAAGGGAGCTTTCACACAGTGATGAAAACAAGCAGACCCTGGGGTGTGGCGGGGAGAAGGGAGACGAGCGAGTTTTTTTCAGTGCCTCACGTAAGAGCGAGCAGCGTGTGTGTCGTCCCCAGTTTTGTTTGCTGCCAGTGTTGTAAAGACGAGGAAGCAGGCCAGCGAAACAACATTTCTTTCTTTCTTTCTTTTTTTGTGTCTCTCATGTATAGGTGTAAATACGACAGTCGCACATATTTATACACAAGCACATCCACGTCGAATGGAATGAAACCTTGAGTTTTCTGCTGCTCAAATGACATGACGACGAAATACATTCGACGTAAAACGGCGACGACAGTGTTCTGTGACCGTGTGGTGGGCGCCTGCGGATGAAGAGAAAAATGGCGCTTGATGCCGCGTGGGCGGTGCAGAACTGTTGGCCCTGGCATTGGCACTAGGGCTTTCAGAAACAGTCTAGCCGACAATCGATCTCTCTAGACTGTCTCTTAAAATGGGCCAACAGACAAGGGAATGGGACGAAGGCAAGCCTAGCCGGTACACTTATGGCGGCATAAGAACATACAGCTGGTTCCAATGATGACATTGGAGAATGAGACGTGCTGCAGCATACTTGTCCAGTTTCGTTATTTTCCTCGCTATCTGTTAGTTCTTTGCTGCAGTGTAGCTGCAGCCAGTGCTTGTCTTGGTCCTTTCCTCTCCTTAAGTATCCTGGCTTTCGTGTGACTGGTATTTTGCCCCAGCATTAGATCGTTTGTCTTCACTGGCGCAGTCCTCAATGTAAATGAATTTCCTTGATGCTGTAAGCAGTGCTGGACGTGGAAATGATTGCGCAGCACATGCGAGGGTTTTTTTTGCTTCTCTCGCAGGAAGGCAACAAACTAGCTAACACACGTTCTGACCTTAAGAGCATAGCAGTGTCATGTAGCAAATGATAGTGTGCTGCTGGCCCCCCACCTTGAGGCAGATTGCCCTTGGCACATGTGAAAAAGACAGAGGAATGCTCTTATTGCATAATTAACAATTCTAATAATTAGGGTTCTTGTAATTACAAAAGATTTCCAATAATTGTACTCTAGAGTACGACTTTGAAACGCGACAGTTCAATTGAAAGAGCTAATACATCGGGCGGGCAACTAAACCTCTGTGCCCCCGGTTACCCCCGAGGCAAATGCAGTACTGAAACTACCGTCCCAGCATTGGAGAAAAAAATTTATACAGAAGTGGTTATATAACTATTAAATCAATTCTTGCTATTGACAAGTCCAGTATTTCTTTAAAAGAAAATACTCTACCAGTGCCTATATGGAATGTGTTGATAGAGGCTATTTCTCCAGTTCATTTGTTTAAATGCACATTTCACATAGCCTTAAGTGTAGGATGGCTTGCCATTTCATGACAGCAATTGAAAGACGTGATGCAAGTTTTCATTGGCAGTGATATATGAAGTACAAGTTCTCTCAAAAACGGCAACGAAATTGTTACACGTTTGATGTCAAATCAACTTTCCATATTATATATAATTTAACAATGACTAAAATTTCAGCCACATAGGTGGACACAGTCCGACAAGATCAATGAGAGCATCTCTGCATTTCACATGAGCCCAGTAATTTGGGTGCAAATATGGAAGTTGGCACCAAGTGTGAATGTTATTTGCAATGGCAGAAAAGTAACAGGCACCTATGCACCTTACTTCAAGGAAGTGCAGTAGAGTTGATGAAATTATGAAATTGGCAGGCCAAGGTGGTAACAGTGGGTGCAAGATAGCGAATCAGATGTAGCAGTCAGTAGAGAAAAGGGCATTGACTTTTAAAATTTCAAGGTTTCACTATTGCCTTTTAGGCTTCTGCTAGGTTTTGTGTCATGAATTTAACAATGGAAAGTGCTACGAGCTGTAAAGTAAGCGCACCAGTAATGTTGATGCAATTAAATTGCACCCATCTCCAAGTTGTAACCAGGCACGAAAGTTTTCGCACAAACGTTTGTCTCATGGCAACTGCCAGAATGGCATAACACTTGGAGAATCTAGTCTATCAACAAAACCTCGGTGAAATTCGAATAGTCAAACACCGGTGGGAATGCCTTCCCAGGAATACTCGTGCTCCTAGAAAAGCATGGATTTAGAATTACACACATCCGACAGAATTACATAAGCTATTTGCTCCAACACATAACGAAACTGGTTTTACGACAATGCTGCAGTTGGCTACGAGCACACCCAGAAGACGCATGTGCACTGCTGGCATTTCGCTGTTCAATTTTATGAACAATCTTACGTCTAGCCGCATGTCGGCAAGTCATGTCATGTTGCAATAATGACCTACGTACCAAGATCAAATTAAAGTTTTTAATAAGTATTTCACAAATTTACGTACCCGCTAGGCCTTACTTTATCCTTTTATTTGCGAAATTCGTGTGCTTCAATTGCTACTTTAAAAACATGATTTGAGGGGGTGTTCAAAATCTCCACGGAAAACATGTGAATGAAGAATATGTTGCATTGATTTGCACAGAGCTTCCTTCGTCCAAGCCAGGAAAATCACGACGTAGTTTGTTTTTTGAGATGTTTTTCTCCTGGAAACCTGGCAAATTCTCAAGTTTGAGCTGAACCTCGCCTGTATGTAAAGGGAACAATATACGCGACATTTTAATCGACAAAATTTTAGTGTCATAAGTAAGCCAAAGAGCCAGGAAGGAGGCCAACAGTTTTGCACCAGTCACGCCTACCATGCTGTGCAAGCTTGCAACTTCTCTCGACGGTCGCCAACAATATCGTTTTTGTGATAGGCAAATCCTAAACTTCCGCCCCTTGTTTGTTTTGTTTGTTTATAGAGTCTCTGCCTCTTTTTGTTTTTGTTCTCCTAGCATACGTATGCAAATGAATGCAAGTCGAGAAGAAAAAATATATGTATACGTGCACAACATCAAGAGAAGCTCAGGGTCCGGCAGTCGCGCGCTCGCAGGCATACAAGCAAAATGAACAGCAAACACTGTATTGTACAGAGTTGAAATTTTTTTCTAGAAAATAAAAAAGACTGCTATGGCAAATTAAAAAAAAGAAGAAGAAATTGTACATATTTTATTAAAAGATCTTTGAAAAATTGATGCTGTGTGGCCTCTACTTTACGTACGAAACATAATATCCTTGAGCTTCGTGCGAAGCGCTCCAGCGCCGTTGCACGAGCCGCTACCCAACTCTAAGCACTGCAGTAAAAGAGGGGATGCATGTCCAACCAACATCCGAACACCATGATGCACTTATGAGACGCAACTTTGTGAGGCGAATTCAGATTACCCTCAACGACTAGGGTTCTTTCAAACATTTCGTCCCTTTAAAATGTGACCTCCTAAGGCTAGAAATCAAATTGAAGTCCTCTTGTCTTTCAGTGCGTTGTCGTTGCTGAGCAACCACGATGGGTCTCTGCTCTGAAGAAGGCCGCCACGCTTGTTCAATCCTTGTTAAAAACCTGACTTGAGTTGGCATCGCTGTCGGCGATTGAGAAAAAAAAAGTTCTTGTCAAGTTTGCTGACTGGCCGTCGCAAAGTGTTCCACTACACAGAGCAAAAGCAGGTACACCCTAGAAAATTTTCTCATTATATCACATGGGCATTGACCCCAGGATACAGTAGCTTCTAATACTTGTGAAAAGCAACAGGATCAGCGGCATGACGATGAGCATTGCCATTGCTTTCTGCACACGTTTGCCTCGATAAGGTTCGTATTGCGTATATGCATCTCTTAAGGAAACGGAGTAGAAGACAAGTGCGGAGAGCACTTTACGCTTGCACATCATGTAGAAAATCCCGTTACTTTTTCGCTTTTTATATCGTACACTACTATGCCCAGGAATTAACATTCGTGCGATATAAATAAAAAATTGCTTCCTGTGGTACTTTTTATGAATATGACTAAGCTTGATACAAACGATAGCTGCCAAGTCTACTCCTTAAGTTTCCAGTTAGGCTCATTAGCTTCCCACTCCTCTTCTGAGACTTCAGCAACTGCAACAGTGCAACCCTAGACTGTGCAGCTAAGTAATATGCTAGTGATTGTGAACATGCTGTCACGCATCCTCTGAGCTATATTTTTGCAAGCGTTTCCAATACACTTTCACTGGCCACGTTACACCTAAAAAGAAAATTGCATGTGCGTACATGGGGGTATCTCTAAAGACCTAGCACGTAAAAGCTGTCTTAAATATACACACAAGAAAAGGGTTTATCTCGTTTTTTTTTTTCTTCACGATGCTAATTGAACGACTCTAGCCTTGGGAACATGTGCAGTAAGCGAGAAAATGTACAAGACAAAAGTGCAAGCTGTGAATGACGCCACTGATCTTCCCCACACACAACTAGATTCAAAGGATTCCGACAGTGTCCGCTAGGACTTGCTTCATTTCATTACTGAAAGCAGCATCATGTTCAAGTGATTCAGAGACTACAATGTGACGTTTCGGAAAATTGTGCTCAGCCTGTGAGGCCAAAGTATGCAAAAAAGGTACTGAAACTTGCATCAAATTTAAGAACTGTAGTTGTGGTGTGCAATTTAATAAATTTATTTTCTTTGTTACTCCTTTATTTCACCTATATTTTCTCCTCTTGACAAACCTGTGATGGTGAAACTTGACTGTATAGCTTTCAATGTCCACTTCACCAGTCTAAATTTATTGTCCCTTTACGTTGTGGCAGCACTTCCGTATCTAGGAAATTGACCAAATCTGGCTTCTAGCCACGAAGAGGAATGCATATTCAAAAGAATATTGAGTTAGAAATTGATTAGTACAATTAGTAATTGGATTTAGTAGATTGTAGAACTACTGTTAATCAAAATGTTGCTCTGGCATACTAAAAGATGCTACAGCGGGGCAATGCACAATGCCTCCCGTGCTTGAGCCAGAGTTTTGAGGGTGTCAAGCTTTTCATCACAGTAATGTGACTGACTGAACTTACTATGGCGCAGCTTCTGGAGTAGCTAAATGCTCACTTTGGAGCAGCAAGTCAACCTTTTGTAGCAGTAGTTACAAATCTACAAACACAACCTTTATAGCCACTATGCTGAAGTAGTTTCACAATGTTTAAATAAATATGCGCACATATGTCTATTTATATACAAGATCCCAAAAGATAAATTCACTCACTGCTTTTTGTTTTCCTGCGGACAGTCAGTTTCTATACACACCATCACGCTGACTGATATTTCCTTGCAGTTCACTTGGCATTTGTTATCTAATGCACCTTTCCCCGACGCTTCAAGGTGTGTAGATTTTCCACACATAATCATTTTACTACCGGAAATAACTACAGAGATGACATATGTGCCTTCAATGCAATCCAAAGGCCCCAGGCATTTTTATAATGTGGTGAAGTATGTGCTGACGCACTTTATGGACAGGCTCGGTAGGCCTTTGGTTCATAGGTGATTAATAAACAAAATAGAGGGTTTTGTTATATAAAAAGAAACAATATCATGTGTCCGAATTCCAAAGTCACTCAACATAATGCACCAGAATGAATTACTTCGCATTTTATTTGGACTGCTTCTTTCAACTTGACCCTTTACCGAAAATGAGAAGCACCACTGTTAATACAACGGGACGGTGGGTCAGCCTGTTTTCCCAGCAAAATTCTACAGGCCACTGCAGTAGCTAGAATTGTTTATAAATCTTGATCGTTTCATGGTATTAAAACTTAAGGGCTCGGCATGAAGTGTTGGGAAGTCGGTGCAAATAGCACCAGAATATCCTTGTAAAATAACGTAACTGAAATGAAACATTTGAAGTAAGTACGCGTACTGCTTGTGCTAATTAATAAAATCTACCTTCATATAAAACATTGGCATCTCTCGAAAACATGTTACATTCACCGATCATTAAGATATTCCCCCCGACTCCACAAAATTCAGCAAATATTTTTACTAGGCTTTACGACACAAAATTTCGCAGTATAGTGTAGCTGATGCGGTTTCGCGGGGTCAGCCCTCCACCGTCCTGGCCAGAAAATTCAACATGCAGAACTAACGGCTGAACTGGATCTACACATGTGTGTAGTCACGTATATAAATATCACGTTTTCACCAAAGGTATTGATACTTAATTCCTGCCACAATACATAGCAGCTTCAGCTTCCGCACCCTCCCGGGCATCGGTGTTGGGGGGGGAGTACACCAAGCTCCTGTGCAACCTGCCAGCTTATATGATTTTGTATACCGCCATTTATTTGCACTAAGCAAAGGCTTGTGGTAAGGCCTACGCTTTTATGCTAAAACAAAACACTATAAGCATGTCATTGCGGCAGGGCAAGAGGAATCGTACTTGCTCATTATATTATCTTAATAGGATAATCTATGGTGGAAACATAGTTATTGGTGTTTCGATATCTTTTTCTACACAGCTCTCACCTGTCTGCTTCAATGACCAAGAAAATTTACAGTGGTAACATAAGTACATATGTCGACCGCCTGCCATTTTTTTTCTTTTTCAAAAGACAGCTAAAATCACTTTCTGGCACACACTTCCGTGCTAATTATGAGACTTTTGTTGAAATGTTGCAAGACGTAGCAGGTTTCGTCCCTTGGCAAAGTTTGGTACAACTGGCACCGCTACCACATTCACTGCATTTATCAGGCATATATATGCATATATTGTAATGAAAATGAGTAAACTTGAAAGCGTAACTTGTAACAGGCAGGACAAGTGTGATTAGATGTCGCCGGGACAGAGTCCTTCATCCTGCAGAAAACACAAAGATGGCTGATGATGAAGGTCTGGCTACTGATGCATTCAAGAATCAGCCTAGCATCTATGTGCCTCTCTTAATAAGCCATGACAAGGCATTCTAAAAAGACTGAGCCTACACAAATTGAACGAACTGCCAGTGATGTCCTGCCATTGTGATGCAAGGCCAGCTGTTCTTAGTCGCAAATAGAACTACATATGAGCGCCCTGTGCTATCAATAGCGGCACCACCACTTCTGCTTCAAAATTGTGAGATTGGGAAGGATACAAACCACTTTGTGTGTTACTGCATCAATGCTGCAAAGCGGAAGTTGTCAGCAGCCAATGCCGCAATAAAATTGTAAGCTCAGAGATAACGATTGCATTTAGAAACGGGAACTCGACTCTCGCTCAGTTAAACGACTTTTAGTTATATGGCAATCGAAGCACAACCATGGGTGTCTGTAGCAGTGGGGGGATAATATTTTTCTGTGCAGTAGCAATGAGCTACACAAGCTAATTAGTACACTCGGGTCCCACATTTCTTTGTGAAACGACCCTCATAATTGCGAGCCAGCCTTTCAGATTACAGACGTGACTAATCTTGCCACGGACATGTCACGGTAGTGGAAGAAAGGCTTCTGGGCGCTCCGGTATGGATGCAGAATTCACACTACAAAGGTTTTTTGTGCATCCCTGAACACGCCCCTCCTCCTCCCATTGGAGCAAAGGGGAAGCGGAAGTTCTATTTTGTGGATGCATGGTTGCAGAGAATACTTGCGTGCAATGATTCTGTCATGTGATCATGCTGTTGGAGAACAGAAAACTCAAGCAAAAAACGATTCAACGGTTTACTGAGTCCAGCAAACAGTGCAACGACTCAGAAAACTGACAGCTGGTCCAACTCGGCAGCTTTTACGCATGCACAATCGAAGAATCCAGCATCATCGTCGGTGGCTACATCAGATCCGGAATAAACTCTACTGCTCGCGTTGCGCACTAAATCTCATCAGAAAAAATCGAAACAATCGGGAATGTTCCTAGATCTTCGAGCAAGCATGCGCTTGAGTGGCAGTTAAACGTATAACAGGCCGGTTATACAAAAATAGAAAACGAAGTGTTTGTATCATATGCTTATGTGGCACTGTATATTTGACTTCGTTCTTCAATTTCTTTTCGAGCAGCAAAAACTTGCTTTTTAGGAAGAAGTGTACTCAGTGCCAACTCAAAAAAATAAACATTTTAATGGGAGAACTTGCCTAACTATGAAAACGGTTGGGGGTCAATATATCTCTTCATTTGCCTTGCCAAGTCATTGTAATTAAGTGACACACCTAATATCCTAGCATCCATGCAATAACAATGCTGTTTTACTTAGGAGATGATGAAGTTTCGCATGACCATTAGGACTCCTTGGTGGCAAGCAGACTTAGTACAGCAAGATCTGCATGCTGAATGAGTACGAAGCTTTTATTCCTGGCTTTACAGCAAACGACAATATTAAATATGCACTCATGTGGGAACACATGAATGTTATACAAGCATGCAAACCATTTATTTGCACCTCTTTCTTTGCTCCTACGCATCATTTCTTAGATGCAAAGTTCTTAGTTCGAGAAAATGGAAGACTGATTTCAGCATTTCACAAGAGAGCACATTGCAGAGTCGTCGGGGAGAGAAAAGTGATAGTCGAAAGGATAGGTCACCCTTACTCAAGATGCGAGTCCTCACAATACCTATTGCCAGGGTCCCTCTCAGGCCAAACATGACACCAAGAACCTTACTGGTTACAGGTGGTTTCAACATAATCAAGGACCAACCCTGTCCAGCTAAAGACCACCTGGTATCATGTCAATGGAAGCAACCGGTTCAAATCGCGAGTCGATCGACTGGAAACCAAACGACACTGCGACGAATTGCAGTGGAAGGGATTGGACCGCCTTGGGATCCAACTGGAACTTTAATACTGGAAGCAGGTATTTCCAGTTGGGGTCCAACTGGTACTTGGACCAATCGTTTGGTGGGAACCAGCTGATGTGCAATACCACCATTAGTACTTCGTGGTACAATGGCGGCTTGCAAAACTCGAGAAAAGAAAACATGTTTAGTCAAAGATATGGAGCAACATTTGAACAAATAGATTTCACCCAAGCATCAACTTTTTCTCGTACTCATAAAAGTCTGTGTTCTCGATGTTGCAATGCGGTTAAAACGGTGCGCCGGCACTGAAAATCCAACCCAGTTCGCCCTGCATTTGAAAAGCACGCTCTAACCACTTCGACAACGTACCGCTGTGCAAAACTGTCAAAAGCCCTTTCACCCACTCTCTGTTCACTTCGCGCCACCGCCAAGCAGCGTGCGCCCCACGTGGCGCGCTAATTAAACTGCCACTAATCAACAGACGTATACTTAACGAGAAGTGCTGCCTATACCACAGTCCATTGCGTGCTTTTTAACGATAGTCCCTGGGTAAGCAATGTTTAATTCACACGGCAATACGAATTGATATAACGAATTCATATCGCGATAATATTAACTTCGTATCATGCAGTGGGAGAAATCAGACAGCATGATATGAAGATGCGTGAGCCGCATTAACGTGAATACCGGACGAGATCATTCAATATGCAGGTGCCGTGCGTGAGTTTGCAAACACGGCACCTTGCTTTACACTCGATTCTATGGAACTTGTTCACTATGGAACCGTTCACCGAAAATGCAACGGGCACGAACTGTGCTCGAAACAGCGGACAGGAAACGCTGTGGTGGGAACCAGAAGCACACGGCGTTGGCTTAGTGCGAAAGCGTACTTTGATGAAAACAATTTGTTATAGGGAACACCGTATGCACGTAGACATGAGCCATGCGTACAAAGCGAGCACCGATGCACACAAGCTCCCCAACAGATAGGGCTCTTATACATAACGCGCAAGTTCTCGACAACCGAAACTGCCAGTACATGTCGACGGGCTGTTGAGAATTTGCGTGCTACGAGATTCTTGCATCTGCGCAACGCTGACAAGTGACGGCGTCGTTTTCAGCAGTAGTAGCGATTCAACAACAGTTACGCAACAGCGCGCGAAAGGAAAAAAAAAAAAAAAGAGTTATCGGAAAACGTGTACAGTAGAGCCAAGGCTCTTTTCTCATTTTTGTTAGCACAGGCACGATTTGGAATGAAAGTGTCTTACCTTGAAAAGACGCGGTCCTCCCGACGAAAATTCAGAGCACGACTGACACTCTTAGGCATGTAATAAGAGTACTTGCCGAAACCTGCCTTGCCGACATCCGCCCGCAATTCACACACACACACACTTCTCGTAACTTCTCCATACTCATAAATGTGCGACGGAACACAAGACTCCACTCATTTTATCGCGCCATTGGTAATGAACTTGAACAAGGTTCAAGCCCGTCCGAGCCTACACGAAAGAAATAGCACGCCAGCAACAGACGACACGTACCACGCTACCGGTTGGTTTCGGAATACCGTTGCGTTTCGGTTGTTTCGCAAAGCGTCCGCCAGTCCTTTTCGCGGCGCCCCGTTCTGAAAGGGCAGCCAGAAAACGTCCGCGCGCATTTTCAAATGGGTTTTTCGTATCATCCACTTATTGCCACGGTTTCAAACGCTATGCACTCCGGTGGAGCGCTCCGACTTCGACGCCTCTAACTCTAATCGACTGGAAGTCCTACCGACACAACTGCTGGCACAAAATACCGGCGAAGCGCCCATGTTTGTTGTGACGCCTGGTAGTGTCTGGATGTAAATCTTCCATTGGCTCTTCTGACATACGTACGTTTGTGTTACCGCTTTACGCGCCGTGTCCCTCGGCCGCAACCAGTAGTCTATAGGAACAAGGCACTCATTGTCAGCGCATTCTAAAGTTCTAGTTCACAGTGAATCTTGGTAGTCTAAATAATAATAAATGCACAATTTGAATGAAACGAAATAGATACACAGCTTTATTGTAGCAGGTCATCGAAACACTTGAATGACAACACCAGTCAAGCACATTTTATTTTTATTTACATTGTCCCAAGAAGGAATGAAAACGTCACAAGAAAGTTCCATCACTGCTAATGACTAGGCCAAGATATTTTTTTTTACTTTGCACAATGAAAGGCTCTCTGCTGCTTTTTTGTTTGTTTTCTCAACACAGCCGAGAATAAAAGGTGAAAAGCTGCATTCCAATGTTACACAGGCTTTAAACAAGGTGTGCACAAAATGAAAAAACAATAACCAGTGGAACTTCCCAATTTAAAACTAGCACGACCATTCAGCGTGGTAAGTACACCGGACCAACCACTGAAGCCTTCCTTGAGACGCCATAAATCAATCAAATTTTTCAACACAGAACTGCGGTGTTTCCCAACCTCCCCAAAACAAACCAAAACAAAAAAACAGGCTCAAACAACACAAAAGCGGATGGAAAACTGTCTATGAAACATCTTGCAAACGAACGAGAAAGTGTGAAGGAGAAAATTTGGCTATCAGTAAGTACAGGTGCATTTCTTACACTACTGCGTCCAGAGATTTAAAAAAAAAATGAAATGAAATGTGTGCCAACAATGGACAACTTTGTCTGTAAAAACAACACAACAATATTAGGGGGGTGATGAGAAAGTATTGGAAATACTTGGTGCAACGCCCATTGTTCATCGGCAAACTTCTATAGTGGGCTGGCATTCTGTCACAGACAGTGAAACAACTGCCCGCCTCCTTAAGAGGCGGAAGAAAAATAAGTCTTAAAATGGCCGTGAAACAAAGAGGGCTCTTTATGGAAGAGTTATTTTATAGATGTTCCAAGCTGCCTTCAACCTACTTGCCCATTTGGGGGAAGCTAAAACTGGCTGGCTAAGAGTGGACCTGTGACCATGCGGCAATCGATGTGTGGAGAAAAACCCTGGTACTGTAAAGGTTTCAAAAGCTACGCAAATGTGCAAACCACTGCTATTCCGAAGCAATCTGCTGTAATTACGTACAGGCGGATTTGGCAGCGTTACTCTAATCTAATCGTGACACTCGCGGTCAACGTATTACGACCTCGTAACAAATCATAAACTAAGTAAGAAACAGGATGTGCCAGTTTTTATCATCGAACTGAAGCACAGTAGTTATAATGCTGCAGTACGCTGCATGAGCCCCTCGCTATCTCTCTGTGTTTTTATGTCAAATGCGCCCAACACATAATCTCGCTGCAAGAAAAAAAAAACATTTTTACAAATCTTGTTTGTCTGTGCCCAAGTGGCGTAATGGTACTATATTGCAGGGCATTGAATCATTATATAACTATCGGCCACTAGAAACACCTTGTCCACCAAAGTAACATGATGATCAAAAAGAAGCAATTAAAAATGTCCCATTTTGAGAGGGATTCATCAGCATGCAAAATACTACTTGAAGCCGACAAGCCCGCTAGTTGTAACAACTTGCACTTGTCAACATCGTTTGCAGACAATGAGAGCAGTGTGTTTTGGTTCTGTATGGCGATCACTGCCCCGACCAATGCACAGTTTAGTTTGCGTGCCAAGACGTGTCTCAGAGGCAGCACATGTCCCATCTTCAGGATACCTAGTTCGAGAATGTGCTGCTCAACAAGTAAACTGATGATGTCATACGGTGCTTGAAGCCACAAGGGCCATTCGCAAATGAACAGTGATATGCTACAAGAGGCCTGGCACAAACAAGCAAGAAGTGTAAACGACTCCTCGTAACGTTTTTGTTTTTATATTAAATATCGACGGACACCTACTGCAGAACAGTCCTGAAGAGGTCAAATACGCATTAACAACTGCCTGCCTATCTGCTTCCTTAGGATCGACGCTGCCGTTCCTCGAGCCAATTTCGCACTCGTGCCAGTATGGCGTCCCGCTACTTTACTTGCAGCAGATCTCGGCATAGCACTGATCCTTACATCATAACAAAGACAATGGTATGCGGTGAGTACCGCTATCACGCTGTAGCGTGCAACATGACTTTGGGCTTCGTACTGTCACAAACACCGCAAAACTTCCTTTTGCTCTTTGCTTCCGTCGTCTCAAACACAAACACGCACAAACATTCCATTATCCAACCATAAAAAAAAAGCATTGTTCATAACATTTGCTCTGTTTTCACATTAGCATTAAACAAGTAAGATTTTGCAAAAAAAATTGAGACCTTCAACAAAGAGGGAAAATAACAGACCAATGACAAGACAGAAGAGACACCCACAGATCAATACTTCGCTTCAAGCACAAACAGGAGGGACTGCCTGTGCATCATACCGAAGCCGCTTTTTGCTTGACACCCTCAAAGCAGGCCAATCCGGCTGACAGATCACAAAGCGTTCGTTCGGAAAAGCACGAAGTCGGCACCAATTTTTCTTCACGACTTGCCCCAAAGCGGTTGTGCCCGCAGCTTACGACGCAGGCACAAACGCCAACTTATCACAAACAGATGAAAACTAGGCTCACTCAAAGGACTATCAATCCAGACACAGGAGTCTTTTTTGCCCATGTTATCACCACTGCTCTCGCGCAGTGCTTGACTTTTTCGACAAACAACTAACCAAACAGAGGAACGATAGAAATAAACAAAAGCAAACTTTCAATAATTAAACTATATATAAAAGAAGAAAGCTTTTCAATCAACGCTCCAATGCAAGGTCATGTCGAAGCAATGGGCACTAAGGAAGGTACAGGAAGAAGAGAGCCTTCCATTAACCCTTCAAGCATCATAACTAACCACTACTAATACACTTTCTATTTACATATCCACACCCAGGCTTGGGAAAGGAAAGCCTAGAAAAGCCAGCACTAAGAAGTCCTCAAGCCAAAAGCTTGTAATGGTGCACTTTTCCGGCCGGACAATTTTAATGATGACGGGAGGCTTTGCCAAACCTGTGAGGTTGACATTGGCAAGTCGGTGCCGTCACGTAGCCCAAGACTTTGACAGCGCCACTCCCTCTTTTCTTCTCATGCGCCTGCGAAACCATCGCTGGCGAAAGCGGCAGACGTGTCGGAGAAACTTCCGGTTTCCCACTCTGCCTGTAACAGAGGCGAGGAGTTCCCACACGTTGGCGATCGCAAATTTTGCTCACTCAATGTGGAGCTGCGGAGCACCCTGCAGTGGTAGCAGCAGCGGCGGACAGTTCAGAGGTGATGCCTGGTAGTTGAATACGCCCCACGTCAACACAGACCTAGTGAAGCGGTAAGAGAAGAGAGAGAAAGAGAGAGAAAAAAAGATGGGCAGGCACATGATTAGGTGTTGCTAACATTTGGTGTTTTTCAACCAACGTTGTTACCTTGATCCTTGTTGACCAGATGACCGTATTAACCTAACACTAGTTGTTTGTTCTCATTAATGCTACATGCACATTCATTTTCGAGTACGCCAGCGGGCCTGTACCATACCATGAAATACAGGAACACTATTCCGTTTGGTACTCCCCGACTGCTGATTTCGAATATACATCATCACTCCCTACGCTGGCAGCACGAAGACATGGAGCAAATGCAATAGCATTCCGTATTCTGTGGTATGGCATGGGCCCGGTGTATGTAATTATGGTAATTTTTTTTTTTTTGAAGCCCTCAATGAAGGTTTGCTATCCCCATCCTAGGGAAGAGATTTGGCTTGCAAAAGCTACACGGGTCGAGCGGCAAGGGTTTCGAGCCCGCCTCCTCGCATCTTTCTTTCGCATCGCTTCAAAATACCAGCCTTCCTAGCTCGTAATGAACTGAGTGAAAAACATTTTGTTGCATATTGCTCTTCATCGAACACACAACTGCCAAGGTCTACTAAAACTTGTTATGGGGCCTGGTGAGTGGCCCTTTAAAGGGACACTAAAGGCAACTATTAAGCCGACGTTGATTGTTGAAATAGCGGTCTAGAAACCTCGAAGTGTTACTTTTGTGCTAAGGAAGGGCCTATTTTGAAATAAAATGACATTTTAGTGGTCCACATCGGGTTCGCGCACTTAAAATTATCCGCCTCAAGAAGCGGATCGACTGGACCGACTCACGTCACTGTTGCTGTGCTGAACGTTGCCCGGCTTTACTGCGCTAGTGGCAGTAGACCGAAAGCAGGGGGAGCCATAGCAGCAACAAAATTCATTGATCGATTTCCCGCCATTGGTTTTGAGATTGCAGACGTTTTTTGGTTCAACTGCGTCCCTGCTAGAGGGCACTACATGTTTCGTGTAACCACGTGAAAATTGAATTTTTGAACCACTTTTGCCACTCCCCATAGTAACTTCCGGCAGTTCTTTTTCCATGAATCAAACAGAAATGAACAAGCAGCATTTTACTGTGTCTCTTGATGACTGGAAGGGTCTTTATTTAGTGCAGCTAGATCGATTACTAGTGATTAATTGTAGGCCGTCCGTCTGATGTCATCTGAATCATTTTGAAAATGTCCTACTACAGCGCATGTGTTCTTGTGCATGTACCTTAATTTCTCGGTAAGTAGGGCAGTGTTGTTGATAATATTGTCGTTTTAGATGTTGTCATACATTGAGCTTTCATTCTCATGTAAATTGTTATTTGATTTTAAGTGTCCCTTTAAAGGTGCCCTGCAACACTTTTTGAGCACGTTCAGAAAACGCTGTCGATCGGTAGTACAGGCTCCGGATAACGCGAGAGCCAAATATTATAGCACAGAACGTCGCCTGGAATTCACAAGAAATTATAAAAGTCAGCTAAAATTTGGTTTCTTTTCTCTAGACAAATCACGCAATGTACCTAAAAATCACACGTAGCATGTCCATCTATCAGCCATAGGCTGATTCGAACATGGCGCGCTCACTGGTTACAGAGATTGCCGCGAGAGGCCGCTACGTGTCCACGCGTGCGCACACGATCACACTGAAAAAGCTGCGCATTCGTAGAAAAAAAAAAGTGCTCAAGGTCCCGGGGCTCGCTTGACGTTTCTCTATGACCCTGCTATCCCTCCCTGCTTAGCTTCCAGCACCTTCGTTGGGACTAGAGAAGAGAGGATGCGATTGCAGCGTGTGACAAATCTTTGTAACTCCGTTTGTACTGGACGGATTCTGAAAAGGTTTCGCTGCGTTGAATTCGTGAGGAATTAAGCTCTTCCGGTGAATTCATTCCATGGTTACTTGAAAAAGTGTTTCAGGGCCCCTGTATGTGCGTGCACACTCAAGGCTTCACCGTGGCTTGCCTTCGAATACCGTGGTCATTCAACAAAAGTAAGAAAGGCTATCCAACATAAGCAGAGCCTTCACAGCTGTTGGTTCGATACAAGCATATGATGCATGCATACTCCAACTTTGCACTTTTCTACCATGATGTTAAAACAAAAAGAAACGTGCAGGGAAACTAAAAGAAAGCTAACCCTCACCAAAATTTGCACAACGCAAACCATACACCTGTGAATTTTTTTTGCGTTCAAGACAGAGAGGCCGCTTACTCATCGCTGCACATGCTTATAGGTAACTAGCATGTATATGGATTTCTGCATCTCATTACTATAATGGTGCTGTTGAAGAAGTGGTACAAACAACACTCAACCTAAATAGCAGGGTGTTATCTTTAGCCAAACAAGAGATGCGTGAAAATGCAGCAGAATCGGAAGGACAGATCCGCATGAGAGTGGGAAGAACACACACGCATGGTGCATGTCTGGCGTTACGTTTGTCCCTGGACAGAGTTGCCCACAGTGATGCCTGCATCCTCCGGAAAAGCAAACCGTAAGCTGTCAGCCACAAGGGACGCTAACATGTATGTTCGTGACTGACAGGTTGACGCTACTCTCTCACTGGAGGACATGCAGTGGGTTGTACGTCTTTAGTGTTTTCAGTTATTTTCTTTGGCAAGATGTGCCGACGTACAGTAGACTCTCGTAAAATATAACCTGAAGGAGCCAGGAAAATATGTTCTGTATAACAGCAGTTCCATTTAATGAGAGCAACAGGATGGCGCAATCGAAGAACAAAGTTATTCCACTGAAGAGATCTCAGTTTACTGAGATCTCTTCCCCGGTGCCTGGTACCGCGGGCCGTCTGCCGGGGCCCCTTGTGATGAGTCAGGCCGCCTTTTGTGTGCTTTTGTGTTTGTTATGATGTTGAGTGGTGTGTAATTTTGTGTAAGGCTGTTTTATTGGGTTGATTACAATTCAGTGTATAATTCAGCTGACGATATCGCCGTTCAAAAAGTAGTTAAATAAATGTGTGTTGTTGTTTCAGGTTCGTTCTGACTGCATCTGCTGTGTCAGTTCACTCCAAGAGCGTGGCGCTCGCTTCTCCATTTCGAGACCTCCACAATATATACAGTAAAGACAGTTCCACTTCTTCTCTCAGGTGGACTGGTTTTATGTCCAATGCAGTTCAACAGCAATGAAGTGTAACAGTGTGGATAAGATTTGTGCCTACCTTCTTTACTGGCACATACTTGCAGTTCGTGTCCTCTGGTTCTCCTCTCTAGTCTCAGCATTTCCCCATCTTAAATTCCCCATTCCCGAATACTTATCAACTATAGCTGAACTTTACATCATTCAAAGTTTCACAATGTCTCTGACAACAGAGCTGTTTAAGCTTTTCATTTATTCTGTTTACGTCACCAGAAAACAGTGATCATAAATTAGTTTCTACCTTCCTTACATGGCATCTCACGTCGTTTACTGCATGACCATGATATTTAGGAAAACACTAATTAATCTCAATGTAATTAAGACCATGCAAATTAACATATGACTGGTTAAGGCCTTGATAATTATATCATGCTAGCTAGGATCTTGGTAATTAATATCTCAAGGTCTGCTTGAGTTCTTGAGACCTTGAGCTTGAAAAGTTCCAACATCAGAGTTTGTTGACCACATGCTCTGCTGTTAGTCCACCTTTGCACCAGTAGTGCAAGCTGCCCTCATTTTCTTTCTTCAGGGAATCTCAGCCTGCTCGTGTGAGCGCCGAAAAAAACTTTCTTCAGCCAAGTCCACACATTTTCAGATCTATGCCCCTTCAAGATTTGAACAACCTATACACAGTGACGTGGCTGCAAAGTCCACTCTGTTTGCCCCCTTCCCCCCCTTTCGTTTCACTTACCAACGAGTGCGCATGCGCAATGTGTTGCGGGGGCAGCCCTCAGTTGGTCTGGTAGGTGGTCAACAGTGCCGCGTCCACCGGTTCCATGCACGAGGGACATGTGAAGGAGCGCATCAGCCAGTCATCGATGCAGTCTGTGTGGTAGATGTGCATACAGGGCAGGAACCGGACTGCATCGCCCATTGCAAACTCTCCCATGCATATCACGCACCTGCAATGGTGTGGTGGGAATATGTTCTTAGTACAGTGAGATAATGAACAGCAGGTGGCAATGTGTTTTTTTACAGATATTCATTTGCACGAAAGGTAGCTTCATCGTGGAACTCCTTTGTCGAAATATGTGGGAACGACAACAAAAGTTTTTCTCAAGGGACGTTTCCAATCTTGTAAGATAGAATTAAAGCCTACAGACCATTGTCAGCAGTGTCATGTGGCTGCCAATTTTTTTAATTAAGTGTTAAAAACTGCAAAATTTCAAGCAAGCAGTAATGCAGCTAGCTTCCAGTGGTTGCGGATGTTTGTAATATAAGCACTGCACACATGTATATGTATATACAGAAGTCCAAATTGCCAAAAAATTCGAGCATGCGGTGGGTACTGATGCCTTGAGTACATTATGCTAGGCACATTGGTGCTCCTTACTTGAGAGATGTGGTGCAAGGTTATAAATTAGAAGGAATAAGAAGAGACAAAGAATGCCATACAGCAAGAACGTTCTGTATTCTTTTGTTTCTTCTCGTTTCTAACCTCGCACCTTGTCTTTCAGGTAATGATGCCTTCAGAGCTATCTGATATGTTGCTGTGGTGCTATTAGCCCATGCATTTAAATATATGAATGCATTTATTTTTTTGTGTGATTTCTCTGTTTTTGATTAGCAAATCAAATAAGGTGTCAGCTACCGTAGCTGTGAGAGTTTAGCAACTCTATTGCACTTGATTGCACACGACATGCGAGGGCAGTACGGTATGTAAGACAAACACTTACTCTCTGTTTTTCTTGCTGCCATCATAGAGGCCCGTGGGAAGGTGCTGAATGAGGCCCATTCGCTGGGCAATCACCACCTGCTCTTCCTCAGTCAGCTGGCAGGCTGGACGGCTTACGTTGGGCGATGGGTAGTACACCGGCATGGACACCGTCTCCTGACAGGGAGAATGACGCTGCGGTTACTGTGACATTCCGTAATAATATGGTGCATGCATAACATAAGACTGCAGGTTATTGAGACGCACGTTGCACCTGACTGCATGTGCAACAAATTGTGATGTTGAGTGAGAGTCAAAAACAAAGAACATGTGGTGTGCGTGTGTTTTATTAATTTCTTGCCCCATTTCTTACGCTAAATTAATAAATTATTTTAGATGGACAAGCTGTACTCTTAAAAATCTAGTTCTGTTAAAGACCAACACCAGTGATTTTTTTAGAGTTAATGGATCTCATTTAAATGAGGTAATTTGCACATTTCCATTACTTATGCCAAATTACAAGCTTGGAATATGTGCAGATTCTTTACAAATTAATTTCATTGATTTTCTATGCCCGGCCGGCTTCTCACTATTACTGGCAACACTATGTATGTGACATCATTCATGTTAAAGTGACAGAAGTGATGGAACTAAGATGGCACTACAGCATTTGCTCGTCTGCTGTCGACCATGGGCCAGCGCTTCGTTGGGCATACGATTTTCAGTCCCATGTGGGCGGGCGTGAGATGGGTCACAAGTGGTGTTCTGCGGTAGGCTAGACACAATTCTCTGTATACTTACCATAACAGATGTTAAACACTCCCAGCTAATGATTACCCTTCGTCTCAATAGTAGACTTTTTAGCTAGCAGTTCCAGCTTGCTGCATGGAAAGTTTGGCAATATCATGCCCGGTTAGAAGCGCACATGCGCAAACTTTACAGTACTGAAATAGTTTCGATAACTGTATTGGTTTCACCACAACCGAGTCTATATGCATATGGTAAGCTCAGCATCATTACAAGGAGGTTTATACTTGGCTGGTATTATGTTTCGTTGATCCTACTAATGTCAACTGTATTGGTTTCACCACAACCGAGTCTATATGCATATGGTAAGCTCAGCATCACTACAAGAAGGTTTATACTTGGCTGGTATTATGTTTCGTTGATCCTACTAATGTCTACTGCCGCTATCCACAAACCTACATGCTCTCCCCATAACAATGTTTGAAAGCTTTAGCTTATCTGCGAACTTGGGCTGCCTGGACCAGTGATGCCATCTGGCGGCGTTATGCACAACTAGGCAAGCACGTAATGTAAAGAAGTGTTTTCTCACTTTCATGAAGAGGAACAGCGATTCCAGTTGGCCTCCAAATGCATCCTAATCGTAGTCTTTGCCCGATTGCTCCGAGGAGCTTGAGCCCATAGGGCAATCAGCCACAGATATGGTACAGTTGAAGAGACATAGTCATTTTCCTACAGAGCATCTGCTCTTTGCAGCTTTTACAGCTTTCATACTTTCTACTGGTGCACGCCTAGCAAAATTTCGGGTTTTTTCTAGCTTATATGTCATGCAGAGACAGCACTGCTCAGCTGGGTTATGATTCTGCCCTTTCTTGCTTATTTAAAATTATTTTCTAACACACTGTGTATTTGTGCTATTGGCACTGTGCGAACAGTGTCTGAGGAATATAAAACACTGCTATTTTCACATCCTTAAAATATCAGTGGAGTAGACCCTTAATTTCACCACCATAGGTTTATTAATATAAAAAATAATCAATGTCAATAGTCTCACTTTTGAATTGCCCATCGAGATTTCCAATGGCGACATGCATTTCGAAGGGCTTTTTGTATTTAGGCCACATTGGCTCAATAAAATTTCCTGAAGCTGAGGTGTTGAAGTCTCTGGCTCTTTCAAAGATGATTTACTTCATTTTTCCCCCGGATTAGGAACTGTGTAGATGCTGTCAAAATCAATGACAACAAGGCAAACGGTGCATGCACTTGAAGGTATCATCGCCACCAATATTTGCTTTTCATGTTTCTTTTTACTTTCCAGCCTTTTCACGCACCAAGCATGGACAAAATGCTGCAATAACTTGCGCAAACACTCGACGAGATGCTCATACTGCGTCTCAACGTGCGGGCACAGCAGAACGAGAAGCCCACTTCTAGAAACACGTTGATATTGATTTTTCGGAGTGCTCTCACGCTTACCGGCACATCCTGTAGGCTTCCAAGGACTCCTCTTTTCATTTGACGCAACAAAATCGCAACTGAAAATGCTTGTGTCAGTAATGATTTAATACTCAACAGTTCACAGGCAGTGGACAAAATCCCTACAAGGAGTGTTAATGCATAGAACGATTAGGAAAAGCACAAGACAACAGAGGTAAAGGGTGCCGAGTTCTTAATCGCTCTATGCCCTGTCAATACTTTTTGAAATGAATCCCCACTAACTTGCCCAAGCCACTCTACAAGAGTTGCAGGAGAACACACTTCACAAATGTCAGTGGTAGTAGCGGAGTGGGAGAGGGACTATCTCTTTCCGACTTAGTGAAAAAAATTGACAGACACTCTTTGAGCGTAAACCAAGGATTACAAAAAAAAAAAAGAATTGTTGAGCAGATCTTATTCATTGCATGTATGTATGATTGTGCGTGTATGTGCGTGTGTCGGCACATCGTATACAGGTACAGAGAACTTTATTTGGAAAAAAAAAAAAAATGTCCCGAAAGAGAAAGTCCCAGGGCAGCAATCGAGGGCACACCATGTGCAACATCCTCCAATCCTGCACGAGTAGGAAGGACGAAGGTACTGCCGCCTTCGGACCGAAAGCGGCGTAATCTCAAACGGCACACGTAGGGAACCCCTACAAGGGCGTCCTCCTCCGCGCTCTCACTCCCCGAAGGCGCCCGGAAGACATGCAGACGACGTGACACAGAAGCCGGCCCCGGCAACAGCCGAATTGCGTCCGCGCTCAAGTTTGACGTAAAAGGTTGAATCCTCACCCCCCCCCCCCCCCCCTTTTTTTTTTTTCACGTCCCGCGCAGTCGAACAGCTGCTGTGGCGCGACGTTGCCGGGGGGCGTCCTCGCGTAGCAGCCACCGCCACGGCCACCTGGCGGCTACAAGCCGCAGCTCGCAGTGCGAAGCAAGCGCTGGTCAGCGAGACCAGCGAGACTCGTGCTTATCGCGAAACGCCATCGGCAGGGTCTAGATGTAATCTCGAGAGCGGCGCCGCGCGCCCGTTGGCCCAAACAGAACGCGTTATTTCCGGAAACTGCTGCCGACAGTGGTGCCGTTCGAACCCAGCGGGATTGCGAGGTCGCTGACATCGCGTCATACGTAGAGTTACTGAACATATACAGTAACTCTAGTCATGTGGACATCGGATCCGACTATTACAGGGGCGCAAGGTTTTCTCACGTCTAGTGGGGCCATACACAACAAGCCAGTTTCTCCGAGAAAGGGGGGAGGGGGCACAACTCTTATTGAGCACCAGGCGGCGCGAAGGGGCGGCTCGTGCATCAGAATCTTCAGCAGATGAACACTGATTGATTTGTGGGGTTTAACCACTGACCTCCACTCCACTGACCTCCCTAGTGGAGGTCAGTGGGTTTAACGTCCCAAAACCACCATATGATTATGAGAGACGCCTAGTGGAGGGCTTCGGAAATTTTGACCACCTGGGGTTCTTTAACGTGCACCCAAATCTGAGTACACAGCAGATGAACACTCCCGCGATAGAAATAAGAAACGGTGTTATTCTGGGGCAGAAAACTAGCGCAAGGACAAAAATAGTGGGAGAAACTAAGGACATTTTGCCGTAAGAGCCCGTTAACCAGACTGTGATTTAATTTACGTTTTCATCCATCCATGATCCCACCATGGATCCACTAACAACCATATCGTAATTTCCGAGGCATTACGGGCCCCAACCATGACCTAACGAAATTTCAACCATCAGCGTGATGTTTTTTTTTTTTTTTATAACGTGCAGCGTCAAGATTTCACTCATTTTTTTACGATCAGTACCGACGTGTTTCCCGAAAGCAGACTTTCAACTTCAGAAATGACCCATTTATGAATAGACACGGGGGAAAGGCCTTCTTTCAAATTGGCCACGACGGCCGACATTTCGTTCCAATTACCCGAGCCGTACACAAAAGGCTCAGCGCCCCGAAAGGCTTCTCTCCTCCCAAAAGCTAGGCCGGAGAGCTCGTCGATTTCGCAACGCCCACGCAGCAACAAAACACCAGTGAACGTCGGAGGAAGTTCTCTGGCGAGCGCGACTGCGAGGTTTCCCGATTGATTTGTGGGATTTAACGTCCCAAAACCACGATATGATTATGAGAGACGCCGTAGTGGAGGGCTCCGGAAATTTCGACCACCTGGGGTTCTTTAACGTGCACCCAAATCTGAGCACACGGGCCTACAACATTGCGAGGTTTCCCGCTTCATAGATCAATGGTGGTTCTTAATCATAATTGAACGGGGTTTCGGCAGTCTGCGGTTTAAAAAAAAAAAAACGTGCACCTAAATAAGTACACGCGGGCCTCCAGCTTTATCGCCTCCATCGAAAAATGCTGCCGGAATTCGATCCCGCTACCTTCGAGTCAGAAGTCGAGCACGACAGCAGCACAGCGACACGCCACCCGAAAAACGAACAACCTGAAGTGGTTGGGAGCACGCACAGCGCACGAATTCGCTAGCGCATCGCCCGGAATCCCTCCGAACAGCCCGAAGACAGCTTCCTTCTACCGCCTGATGCTTGTTCGAGAAAAGAAACCGCGCTCTTCAGGCAAGCACAAACACACTATCCAGTGTATTCACTGCAGCCATGTGTTCTCCACGGCGCTATACCATAGTATCTCGTAAACTGCAATGACAAAATACAGCAAGCCCCGTATATATACACCTCATTGTCAAGTGCGCGCTTGCATACCGACTCCACCCTACACATACTGGCACTGCCCCAGAGCCAATACGCCAAAGTTGCGAATCTGGGCGAAACAACTTCCTCATGGACAATTCTCCTTGAACTAACCATTCTAGGGGAGGTGAGTGAAGCCTCACCCTATAGCTCGGACCCGGACTTGAGTTTCGAATATAAAAGTTATTTTTCTCTCTCTATCTCGCAAAGCGCGAGCCACGGTCAAATGAGATGCGGTA